GCCAGCGGAAGCCCAGCACATGAAAAGGGCTTTGGAAAAGGCAAACAGATGCCGTCCTGGGACAGGCAATGGGGCAAATCCTCTAAGACACCTGAAGGCAAGCCGATTTGTTTCAAGTTCCAGAAAGGGAGGTGCTCCGACAAGGCTTGTCGATTTGCACATGCGTGCCAGCGTTGCTTCGGTCGCCATCCCTTCACGCAGTGCCGTTTCAAGAAGGAGGCTGGAAACGGGCGGGTGCCTGAGGAGGCGGCTTCTTGACTATCTGTGGCTATGGCAGCGACGCCCCATGCGGCGCCTATGGTGGGGGTTCAGAGTGCGCGCTTGGGGCATGACAAGCGTAGCCGTGAGCTGGATGAGGACAAGGTCGAAGATTGGGCATGGGAGCGAACAGGTGAGCTTGCATGGCAAAAATGTGAGGTGGAGTGTCAGGAAATTAGTTCAGACGAAGACATTGACAAGGTTGCGAAGCCAAAGAAGGGTGCGGGCCTATGGGGTGATGGACCGCCGCTTGCTTCAAGACTGTTGGGAAAGAGGCAGGAGTTTGCAGATGGATTTGGCTTGTGTTCTCCAGGTCGTTGGGAGCCTCACAAACGACAGTGTGCCGCTAGCATGCCATGCTTAGGTTTTGCAGAGCAGATTGGTGTTGAATTGTTGAAAATTTTGCGGAGTCATTTAGACATGCGTGCTCTGGCGATGAAGCTTGCAGTGGGTCGTGTGCAATCTACGCCCTTTTCTGATGAGCTGATTAGTGCAGGTCGAGAGCTGCTTTTCACAGCATTAGAATTTGCAGGTTCTAAATTGCCGGTGCGCGAGAGGCAGGGGGGGCAACCCTTTTTCTTAGCGGCCATTGAAGAGTTCTTGCGAATTTCGGGCGGCCCCGACAGCAGAGCGTTCTACACATCAAGCAACTCCTTTGCTAAAGGAGTGCGCGTGGGGCCAAATGCCAAACTGCCTCGCGTTCCTGCCGTATTTGAGAAGAAGATTAAGTGGAGACAATACAAAGAAGAAGAGAGTAGCTTAGACATGGAGAGAGATAACTATTTGTCAGCCCGTGATCATGCTCGACTCGTTCAGAAGCAATTTGAAACTGAAGCTGCTATGGGTTGCATGATTGAGATGCCTTTGAGTGAAGCAAAGCAAAAATTTGGGGATCGGCTGGCCCTAGCGTCCTTAGGAGCGATAGGGAAGAAGGATGGATCGGTCCGTGTGATACATGACGGGACACATGGCGTTGGAGTGAATCCAGCCATTGTGGTCCGGGATCAGCTCCGCACACCAACTGCCGGTGATCTGCAAACTGTGTTGCAAGTACTACCAGGTGCGTGGTTCGGCTTGACAGGTGATGTGGCGCGAGCGCATCGGTTGGTGCGAGTTGCTGAAGAAGACTGGGGATTACAGGCGTGCAAGACAGACGTGCGCCCAGATCATATTTGGATTAATACTGTCGGAACATTCGGCATTGGGAGCGCGGCATACCATTGGAGTAGGCTCATGTCTGGGGTGGGTAGAGCTGCGTACTACCTGCTGGGGCAGAGCGAGCTATTCATTCTTGTTTACGTTGACGATTTACTTTGGATCACGCGCGATAAAGTCGGAATTGAGAAGATTATCTTGACCATTTACTTCATGACCATTGTTGGCTTGCCGTTTGCATGGAAGAAGTTTCAAGGAGGTGTGGACCTGGCCTGGGTTGGTTTCGAGTTATGCTTGAAAGGAAGTAAGCTCGGCTTGTCGTTGGCGCGATCGCAATGGTTGGTTAAGTGGCTCAGTGACACAGCAGATTTGGGTCGAGTGCGTATTGCGGATATGTCTGCAGTATTGGGCCGTCTTTCTTTTGGCTTGACTGCGCTGGGACACTTGAGGCCGTTTTTGGGGCCAGTGTACGCATGGACGGCAGCAATGACGCGAAAGGTTATCACAGGCAACCTGCCAAAGGCGATCATCTTGATCTTTAAGTTCTTGGCAAAGGCCTTAGCAGACGGTGGGCGCCTGGCATCTGTGCCACCAGCCCCGGGAGACCAGGTGGAACTGTTTCGGACAGATGCCCGCGCAGAAGGAAATGAGATTTGGATTGGCGGCTGGGCTATGGATAGCACGGAGACAAAACGCTGTAGATGGTTTTCTGAAAAATTGGATCACGTATCTGCGCCTTGGCTTTTTACTGCAGGTGAAAGCTACAGACAGATTGCATCGCTTGAGCTGCTAGCCTCGTTAGCTGCGGTTGTCGTCTTCGGGGTGCCAGTGCAAATGCGGGGCAGAATCCATTGTTCGGCTGGGACCGACAACAAAGGAAATAGCCATGTGGTTGCAAGGTTGCTCACAAACAGATTCCCCCTTGCTGCGTTTTTGATGGAGCTGGCTATGCAGTTGCAAATGGTTGGCGCGAACCTCGAGTTGTACTGGCTGCCGCGGCTTCAAAACCAGGAAGCTGATGCGCTCACAAACAACGATCTGACTAGATTTGATGAGCAGCTGCGGCAAAGGTTTGACTTGGCCTCATTCAAAGGACTGGTCTTGTCAGACATGCTAGCTTGCGGAACAGAGCTGTATGAAGAGATTAAGGTAGCGCGACAGCGAAAAGCAGTACAACATGCGCAACGTGGACGAAAGTCGGACGCGCTTAAAGTGGCGCAGCCCTGGGGTTGAAAAAAGGGTGCGTGGGGGGCGTGCAGGATGATAGCCACGTCGCATGCTTTTCAAGTTGGGATTTAAGTTGTCAGCGGCGTGGCTGATAGAAGACGTTTGACCGTGGTAGGCGGTTGTTGTTTCATGCTGCATGGATTTTGAGAATTTCTTGGGTGCAGTGTGTTTTTCCACCACACCGTAGGAAGAAAAGTTAGTGCGGACTCGATTGCGGTTCTGCAGGGTTTAATGGAAGAGTGAGCTGATGCATGGCAATTAAAGTTTTGTTTTGTCTGTTGTGGGGACTGGAGTGGATTTTGGGTGTGAACCTCTTACTGTACAGTTGTGTTTGAACTTCAGCAGAGTTAATAGGACCACAGTAAGGTAGGATCTCGGGAACCTCTGTCTGGAATGTTGTGTTTAAACTTTGGCGGGTTGATAGGACCAATGTGCAGTAGGATCCCGCGGGTCGACACGCAGGGGCGAGTAGTGGGATTCGATAGCACCCTTATCGTTGAATGTTGCAGTAGGTGTAGTTGTCTTCGTTGTGGTGCTAACTTTACTTTGGGCAAAATAACTGGACGACCCGGGTTCGAATGTTCATCATGTTTCTGGATGCCTTACTTTTATGTGAACTTGGTCCACTTGATTGGTTGTGACTTGATCTCTGGGTGAGTCATGAGTTTCCATGATGTGCTTCGCGTGTGGACACACGGGACTACATTAGAGATAGGATCTCTGGCTGTTCATGTGGGTTTGCATGAAGTTTATCGCCTGTCATGTGGACACATGAGTTTCGATTTAGAGATGTGAGTCTCTTGCTTGTCATGTGAGATTAACATGAATGTTTGGACCTGTCATGAGGATTCATGACAAGATTGCTAGCTGGCCACTAGCGGTTTGGGCGTAACGGTTTGGTTGCGCGTTTAGCGTAACGGATTGGTTGCGCGGAGGGCCGCGGCGTTGGTGATGTTCAGTGTTTCTTGAGCACCCACCCGCCCGCCCTGGATTTAAGTTGTCAGCGGCGTGGCTGATAGAAGACGTTTGACCGTGGTAGGCGGTTGTTGTTTCATGCTGCATGGATTTTGAGAATTTCTTGGGTGCAGTGTGTTTTTCCACCACACCGTAGGAAGAAAAGTTAGTGCGGACTCGATTGCGGTTCTGCAGGGTTTAATGGAAGAGTGAGCTGATGCATGGCAATTAAAGTTTTGTTTTGTCTGTTGTGGGGACTGGAGTGGATTTTGGGTGTGAACCTCTTACTGTACAGTTGTGTTTGAACTTCAGCAGAGTTAATAGGACCACAGTAAGGTAGGATCTCGGGAACCTCTGTCTGGAATGTTGTGTTTAAACTTTGGCGGGTTGATAGGACCAATGTGCAGTAGGATCCCGCGGGTCGACACGCAGGGGCGAGTAGTGGGATTCGATAGCACCCTTATCGTTGAATGTTGCAGTAGGTGTAGTTGTCTTCGTTGTGGTGCTAACTTTACTTTGGGCAAAATAACTGGACGACCCGGGTTCGAATGTTCATCATGTTTCTGGATGCCTTACTTTTATGTGAACTTGGTCCACTTGATTGGTTGTGACTTGATCTCTGGGTGAGTCATGAGTTTCCATGATGTGCTTCGCGTGTGGACACACGGGACTACATTAGAGATAGGATCTCTGGCTGTTCATGTGGGTTTGCATGAAGTTTATCGCCTGTCATGTGGACACATGAGTTTCGATTTAGAGATGTGAGTCTCTTGCTTGTCATGTGAGATTAACATGAATGTTTGGACCTGTCATGAGGATTCATGACAAGATTGCTAGCTGGCCACTAGCGGTTTGGGCGTAACGGTTTGGTTGCGCGTTTAGCGTAACGGATTGGTTGCGCGGAGGGCCGCGGCGTTGGTGATGTTCAGTGTTTCTTGAGCACCCACCCGCCCGCCCTGGATTTAAGTTGTCAGCGGCGTGGCTGATAGAAGACGTTTGACCGTGGTAGGCGGTTGTTGTTTCATGCTGCATGGATTTTGAGAATTTCTTGGGTGCAGTGTGTTTTTCCACCACACCGTAGGAAGAAAAGTTAGTGCGGACTCGATTGCGGTTCTGCAGGGTTTAATGGAAGAGTGAGCTGATGCATGGCAATTAAAGTTTGGTTTTGTCTGTTGTGGGGACTGGAGTGGATTTTGGGTGTGAACCTCTTACTGTACAGTTGTGTTTGAACTTCAGCAGAGTTAATAGGACCACAGTAAGGTAGGATCTCGGGAACCTCTGTCTGGAATGTTGTGTTTAAACTTTGGCGGGTTGATAGGACCAATGTGCGGTAGGATCCCGTTGTTTGGCTCAATATACAGAGATTCCTTGTTCAATTCTGCGTTTGTGGCCGTTCCCCTGTAACCATGGAGGTGGTGCCAGCTGCACAGGAAGGCGCGCACTATGTGTGCCGTCTCTGTGGCAATGGGTACCCTGACTCATCGGGTCGCCTTCATGGGAAAAGCTTTACCTGTTGGACATGCTTAAACATTCAACAGACGATTCGCCGCAACCTTGGGACAACAGCCCCGCTGAGCGAGTTCAGCACGGAAGAGACGCACGCGTTCTTCCAGAAGGTGCCGGAGACAAAGGAAGAGAAAGAAGGCAAGCTGTCTTGGACCACGGTTCGGGGGCAGTTACTGAAAGTGATGACTCAGCGGCATTTGTCCCGCTTTGCAGCCAAGGTCGACGTGGAGGAACTTCCCCTCGGTGTCTACGAGGCACGGGGATGGAAAACGGAAATTGTGGAAAGATTTCCGAAGGAATGGAATGCTCAATACAACGATTACATCTACAAAGTTCCAGTGCGTACTATGACTTGGGAAGAGGCCTATGAGACTGTGAATGAGACAATTATGCAATTAGAAAAGGAAGCTGCCCAGAAAAGGGGTAAAAAAGATGGCAAAGGGGAAGCGGGGCCGAGCCTGGACTTGCCACGTGCAGGACCGGAGAGAAAGGAAGACAAGAGTGAGAAGAAGGCAGAGCGCGAAGCCGCTAGTCAAGCGAAAAAGATTTCTACGGGAAATCAGAAGATTGCTTCGACAGCGGCTAACGCGTTGGGTCCCCTGAACTCGCTGGAAACATCTTTGTCGAAAGTTCTGACCAAGGCTGACGCTGTGTCCCAAGAGGATTCGGCTGCGAAGCAATTGTGTCAGGAGACGCTCGATAAAGCAAAGATGTGGAAGCAGCGTGCGCACGCCGCAGTGACTCGGCATGAGCAAGACAAAGGGTCTGCAGGGCAGGTAGAAGCCTTGGAAAGTTTACCGTTCGGGGCTACTGAGGTGAAGACGCTCTGCAAACAAGGCGCAGAAGCGACCAAGGAGTTGAAAGCCAGTTTCCCTAAGAGGGAAGCAAAGGCCAAAGCTGCCCCGAAGGAGGCTGCGCTGGCAGAGGGCGGCGATGGTGTGGCCAAGAGACGACGCATGAAAGGCCCCTGAGCGAGCGCGACCTGGTGGCATGGCGCGTACATTTCGTGTGGATCCCTGGGGAAAGGGATTCTCCTTCGGAGTCGAAAGCGTGAGTGCATTGTCGCACGGCGGAAAAATATAAGAAGGGTGTGGGAAGGGGCAGGATCAACTGCTATAGATTAAGTACGGTTTTTGGCATATACCACATAGACACGTAATTCATATACATTCATCACTGCAGCCAGAAATAGGAACATTGCTCGAAGGTAGAGGTGACCGAAGACTAAGAAACGTAAGAGGGAAGAACGGATGGGAAGCCGTCTGAGCCCTTTGTATCTGCAGCCATTTGGCTTTCTGAAGGACCACGTAGAAATGAAACGGAAATTAGTAGCGGATGCATCCCCTGCGGAGCAATTTCATACTCTCCGACAAATTCCAGGGCTAAGTGCTGCGGATTGTCGGGAGGTGATTCATCTTCTACGGGAAGATGATAAAGGCGTCCATACCTGCCATCGTCAAGAACAAAAATTTCCGGAGGCATCGAAAATGATGCGCCAAGTGCGCTTGCCGGGCGCGAACGGGTTAGTATTTCACTACAACTCGTTACCAGAGTTAGTCTACGAGAAGACTCTGCGTTGTCCACTCTTTGCCACCATGATGAAGGAAGCAATGAAAGTGGCAAATGGACATCTCACGTTGGTTATCTTCAGTGATGAAGCGAATCCGGGGAATATCTTGCATGGCAGACATCCCCGTAAGACCAATCTGGTATATGCCTCATTTCTGGAGTTGCCCTGTCTCTTTGTAGATAGCATGTGGTTGCCGCTTTCAGCGCAAAGAGCGGACGATGTGTCAGCTCACGAGACTTCCTACGCGGAAATCATGCGGCACTTGCTAGAAGCTATCTATGCGGAGACAGAATGTGGCGTGCCGATATGCATTGGGTCTTCTGGCCACTTGGTCTTCATCGATCGTGTCCTTCTCTTGAATGACCATGAAGGATTGCGAAGTGTGAGCGGGGCCAAAGGCTCTGCAGGCATGAAATCGTGTTGTCACTGCTCCAATGTTCTCAGCTTGGGACGCCCATGTCCACCAGGCTATACAGATATTTCAGAGATGTCGCCGTCCAAGTTTGTACGTCAAACGGACGAAGGCCTGATGGATATACGCAATCATTTCGCCATGTGCACAACCAAAAAGGAGAAGAAGGATGCCGAGACGATGTTAGGCTGGAACGCTGACAACCTGGAAAAGTCAGCCCTAGCTTCACCTGTGTTGCAGCACTGGATTCGGTTAGATTCCTTATATTTGGACGCAATGCATGAATACCACAGCTGCGGAATGGTAGCACAAGAATTGGGTCTCTGGTACACACAATTGAAAGATTGCGGTTACACCCTGGAAATCCTGCAACGATGGGTCGCTATCGGATGGACTGCGTCGCAAGGTGACCAACAACCACACCTCGTTTGCAGTGACAAACTCTTCAAATATGAGATGGATTACCGTGGAGATGCCAGCGCTTGTCGGATCGCTCTTCCTTTAGTTTGGGCTTTCTCTATCGAAGTGCTGCACGGAGATAATGCAATGGATGACGCAGTGCAGTCAATCTCTGCATTGTATGCTGTTGTTCGGTGTTTGCAACGCGCTAAAATTTTTGTTTCCCAAGGGGAACATCTTTTGGCGCTGCAATGCAAACATCTCTCGGCCTTTCAGAAAGCGTATGGCGCATCTGTCATGAGGCCAAAGGCGCATTATGCCTTGCATCTGTCCGAACAGATGAGGAAATGGCATCGCCTCATCGATTGCCATGTTGGAGAAAGAAAGCATCGCTTATTTAAAAGATATGTTGGTCCCAAAATTTCCAGGCTGGAAGGATACGCCAAGAGCGTACTTCTACATCTGACAGAAATGGAGTTGTCTGGCTACGAGCCAGCAGAGAGACTCCTTGGTCAGACAATTGGTGTTCCACGTGAGCACCCATGCATGGCGAAGCGGCTCAAGCTGCAAACCAATGCAACCTTTTCCTCTGGTTTTGAGATTGGCTGCGTATCGTATCAGAATGGTGCCTACTTGCGCATGTCGCAAGATTGCTATGTGGAGGTGCAAGGAGGTGTGTCCTCCGGCCACGACAAATATCTTCTGGTAGCTCCTCTACACCGAGAAACCAAGTCCATGATGATCTTTCCTAAGTGGATAAAATCATCTACACACTTAGCATTGCTGCCAATCGAACGGTTGAAAGGCCAAGAGCCCTATCGACTAATTCGAAAAGATGCTACTGGAATTTGGCTGTTACGATAACGGCTCAAAAATTAAACGCGGTTCACCCGAGCCGAGCCAGCGCCCAATGCAAAAATGAATGCTAAGCCGATCGTTCCTGCACAATCAAAATATCCACCCAGCATGATTTTTTAATTTTGATTTCGAAAAAAAACCCTTATACCAATGAATAACATAGAAAACAAAAAACGTTCAAATAAAGGTACAAAAAGATACGATGAACTTACGATGAACTTACGATGAACTTAACATAGCCTCCAAAACCTAACTTCCTAAGTTCCTCGTAAGTTCATCGTAAGTTACATAAGTTCAAAATCCCTCCAAAGTAGCACCAGTTATGGCCGCTTTAAGTTTGGGAAACTTATATAAAATGATCGTAATCCATTAGAATTGGGGGTACCATCAAAGGCAACAAACCCTGGCTTTTCGGACCCCGGCAATTTTCGTCAAGCACCCTGAAACATGTTCCTCTCCAAAAAGACAAAGAACATATAAATGCCGGATGAGTTGTTGAAACACAATTTTGCCCTAAGAGCAAATGTTTGTCCAGTCCTTTTTTTCCCTGGGTTTGGTTGCTCTTGGCCTCATCCCAGATATCTTCACACAACCATTTTTGACACTCCATGCCTGTCATCATAAAGGGACTTGGAATTGGAATGCATTTGACACAAAATCTGTGAGAAATATCATCCAGTAAAATAACATAGTTATGGAATATCATTATGTTTTAAACTTGTCCTTCTCAATCATCTATAAATTGGCACATGTCCATAGCTATGTTAAATTACCAGAGAGTATGTGGCAGGATCTTTCAGGTGTGCTCTTAGAAGCCTCAAGCGACATGGTGTCGCAGCCAACAGTTGGTCTTCACATTGAACAAATCTCAGTTGCTCAAACCCAAAAGTACGTAGATTGAGGTCAAAACTGGGTATAGTAGCCCAAACTCTCCAAAATAGATCTGATTTCATAAATGGATATGGGTCAAAATTCAAGACCGAAAGAAACCATAGATTGACATGTCTATTGTGAGTATTAACCATCCAATTGTTGGGGTACCCAATGTTTCACCCATACCCTTAAATGGTTCAGTTGGGCATGGGCCAGAACATGTCAGAACCCCAGTAACTGGCTTGCCAATTCACTACCCTACAAGTTCCAGATTTTGCTGTATTGTTTTTGTGTATACGTATGTATATAATATGTTTATATTATGTATATATATATATACATTATGTATCTAAAAAATATAACTATGTATATGTATATATATATACATGTACCTTTTTGTGACATCGTGGTAATATTCTTTGTATCCTCACTATATTACCACATCGACTATCTGAAGACGTCGACTCGAATCATTGCTGAAGAACCCATTCCACCCAATGCTTTTGGTGTCTCAAAAGCCACCATACAGTACGAATCGTCCTAATCCCATCTTCTCCAGTGACACCCTGAGTACTTACACCTCAACAGAACATAAGATTCATCAGATCAACTTGCCTCATGTCCAGCAAGACAATTCATTTTCTAGACATGTTTCTTCATTTTTCACAGTTTTATCCAGAAGTTCAAATCAAGCCAGACCTGCAGGGCTACAGCAGGACTCATGGCACCACGGCACCATGTCCACGTCGTGGCACGGCGCGTTGGTGGCATCCCCGGCTCGGCTCTCACCTCCATCGGGGAAGTTGGAGAGCTGGAAGAGGAATCCATTTTTTTGATCCGAGGGATCCAGGATGTGAAGCAAAAATAAACGGAAAATCCGCAGGGATCCCAGGAGCTTCTCATATTTTTCATGAGATTTGATGAACAAAACATTTTGGGATTTGAACAAGTGCTGCGTTGGAGTACCGGGTACTTCGAGTGATCCCCACCAAGTGGTTTTTTGTCTGGTATTCTGAGTTTCTGTCTGACAATTGTATCTGGCATTCTATTATACTATTTTACGAAAAAGGATTCGACCCATTTATACTTCCAACATGTATTCTTGCACTTTATCTCGTGCAGTCTTCGCATACGGCAAGCCCCAAGTCAGGAAGCTCCCAATAGTGCGAGGTGGCAGGAGGAGGGAGCAAGATCCGTGTCACCATAGCCATTGGCAGCACGCTATAGCAACCTGTCAGACCTGTCACTCATCTCACTGAATTCCCCAAGCCAAATAAGCCAGCTTCATGTTCCTTGAAGTCATTGTTGGATCAGGTGAGCCATTTAAAAGTACCCCATTTTCGCATCTCATGAAATACTGATTGGTGAACAGGCTTCCCTACTATGGGTTATCATAATCCCATCAATATAGGTATATAGTATAACCCCATACTTCATAACCAATCAACAATGCTATTTTGGATAGCTCAGGTGGTTATCAAATAAATACCCGAGTAACAATGACCAACAAGGGCTGTCGATCGAGATTTTTGACCATTTGACCTCCACCAGTTTGGGAAGCGTTTGGTGTCTTTGATGGCCCAATGTGAACTTGGCGCTGGTGCAAAACCCAAATCATGATAATATCATCACGCATCTTAAGTTCCAAAACGATAGAAAAGAACGGCAGCTGTGTTTTTGACCCCCCTTCAACCATCAAGCAAGAACATATGTACTCACGAGAGGGTCTACTCAGGGTTGGAATGACCTTCTTGCGAGGTTTAAGGCCAAGATTTCAATGGGGCTCAAAAAACTAGCCACAAATGGCAACAACTTGATCTTGGGGTTCTAGCCACATTTCATGTGTGCTTTTCTTGTGCATGGCTCAGATTTCTTGACCCCCACTTTGAAATGATTGAAGAGTAAAATAACTACAATGTGAGGCCCCCAAAATAGCTAAGTTGGTGCAAATAACTCCAATAACTATGTTTATGGTACTTATAACTATAGTTACTGGGGGTTTATAAACCAACTTATAACTGGGGGGCCTCACGTTGTACAATTTCTGGGTCCATTCGTGCCCCATATTTGATACCCAACTGATCTCAAGTGAGGACTCAGCATCGGAGACTGTGAGCTCTCACAATACATGTGGCCTAGGATCCCATAAATGGGGATGCCCCAAATTTTCATAGCCCATCGATAATACAATGTGGGCCCCCGTTTTCGATAGCTCGCTCAGTTGGTGCGTGCAAATAACTCCAATTTCACTATGGTTTATGATACGCAAATAACTACAGTATTCATGGGATTTATAAACCATCAAACATAACTGAGGGGGCCCACATTGTACCAAACAGTTATTTTCGCAATTTTGGAATTTGGAGGTATGGAGGTATGGATAAACTATGATAAACTGCTGGAATTTGGAGCTATAGTGGGGTATGCCAATCATTGATCGATGACTTCAGGAATCATTTGGAGATGGTAGCACAACTTTTGCGGCGCCAGCTCAAGCGGCGAAAATTGGATTGGCTCGGATCTGGCATTCTAAGCAAATTCTAGGAACTGAGACTGCCCTCTGAAAAATATTAGTCAATGGGAAGGATTATCCCATATATTATGGAAATAACAAATGTTCCAAACCACCAATCAGGAGAGGTTTGGTGATTCCAAACTTCTTGCTTCAGAGGAAGATACATGAAGCAATGAAGCAAAATTAGCGCACTCGGGTTCGGAGAAATGGACTTGCATGGCAAATGGTCATGCACTCTTTGCTTCAAGCTCCATGAAGATGGTTCCAACCAAAAATCCTATCTACTCCGGCTGACTGCCGATTGGAGCAGCGGCCAAAACCCGTGTACCCACGCGAAAACAATGCTTGTTTCAAGAGACTTCTACAGTATGACTTAAACATGAGCAGGAATTCATAGTGATATGGAGCTTTCCCCAAAAAAAAACGGTTTCTGCATTTCACTCCGAATCAGGCAAACGAAAAGCTCAACGGACTTTTTTTATGGCCGCTGCTCATGTATGTGGATAAATGGAAGAGTGGCTGCTCGGTGCTTTCGATCAAGGGCTGATTTCCAACTTCTGGTTGCAAAGGGGGCATCGTTGTCGAGGCTCGCCCGAAGTCAACCATTTGGTCACACATTTCCTGACGAAAAACACAAAGGGATGCTGCAAATGGAGGTAAGAAAGCGAATAGAGAAATCCAGAAAAACTCCAACTGATTCTTGGATACCCTCTGGTAATTTCTTACACTTTGCTATTGAAAATGGCCCAGTCGAACTAGTTGATTTACCCATTCATCTGGGTAAATTATAATATTTCACTATCCTGAAATAAGGCCATTTTGGGATGATTCCCCTTACTAACCATGATTCCAGTGAGGTCATAGTGAGGTCGTTATAATTTACCCAGATTAATAGCATGGTGATTTTCCAGTTCGCAACATGTAAACGTTTACCGGAGGTTTTTTTTTTGATATGCTGCCTGGAGGTACACTGCATTCATCCCATGGTTCATCCCACAGTCCACAGTAAAGATTGGCAATCACCTGTGGATCTTAATGGGAAGGCTCGTCGACTTTCCAGCATCTCTAGTAATGATCGACTTGAAAGAGGGACTATATTTAGTTATCAATATACATGTTATAAAGAATTGTGTAGTAAAAGTCGCATTTTTTAAAATGAAAAATAAAGCCAGTTACATTTTTTCAAAGTAATCAAATTGCTAAAATATTTTTAATATTTGACATCTGCAGGTCCTGTAATCACATCCCCCTAAGATATCCTGATATATTCAATGGTCCCAAATATGTCTAAATCATTCTACATCCCCTCCTGCAAAAACCATGGTTTGTGGGGGATGCTTCATATAAGGGGCAATAGGATTACATTCATCATTCTACATGGCCAATCTGTGACACCCTGCACAGATGTGACCACCTCAGTTCTTTCCCGGGACTTAGGCGTGTAGCCAGCAGTAACGACTACCATCTGGTTATTTAACATAGCCATAGTCGTTACTTAACATAGCCATGGAAAATCACCATTTTTAATAGGTAAACCATCTATAAATGGGCCATGTTCCATGGCTATGTAACAAATAACCAGAGGGTATATAAATGGAGGAATTCCTAAACTGGGGGTACCCCCAGTCGTCATCCATTTTAGATCGGGTTTTTCCATCAACCATCCATAAAAAGAGAGTATCCCCAGTGGAAAGCTCCATGGTTGGTTTTTGGACCAGTCACTTGTGGTGCACATTGGCCTTATGGATTTGGATCCAAAATTCAAAACTCCCCGTAAAACCACCTCCGATGTCTCATTGCCAATCTTGGATACCCTGCAAAAAAATAAGTTCTTTGCTGGTTAGTAGATATTCCCATTAATACCAAAGACTAGTTAGGATTAATCCATCTAAGATTGACCTAGGTTTGGGTCAAGTGTCTTGTGAAAGCAGTGACCACAGGGAAGCCTCAGCGCTCGGCGTCGGCAGGTGAAAGCGGTCTGTGTTCTTTCCCTGACTTTGCTCCATGGAAACTGTACCTTTAATCTCCCTCCACAGGAATATAACTTTCCAGTTGAACAAGGTGATTTTCTAGTTCCATCCTTGCTTCAAATAAAGCACACCCCTCAGGTTTATCACCAAAAGCTGGACGTGAAAATGGACATACAGAAACCGTCTTTGGGAACTCACCAAAAGCAGGTTTACTCTTAGTACCTGACAGTGCATTTCCAGCTACAAGTGGATATAGAACATTATATAAACCATAGTTATCAGGGTTATAATTATATCCAAACTATTCCCAACTCATGAAGGGGTTTTAACCATGGCTATAGGCTATATCCATTTCCAACCTCAACTGCCAAGGGTGCAGCAATGGTGGGGGTATCGAATAGCTATAGAAATCGATAGGACAACTGGATACAACTTGATGATATCGTTTGGTTGTGGTGGGATTTACAGCTATGGGGTCAAGATCGGGACTCCTTCTATGGAATAGGCTTCAAAGAAACAACTAGATCACAAAGTGCTGGCTCCACCTGAATTCTTGCTGTATCTTGTATGTTCCAACAATTCCAGTCATAACAATGATGTCAATTCTCAAATACAAGCTTAAATCCAATAAATCTGTTGGCAAATCTTAAATCAGTCTCAATTCCATTCTTCAACCCGGATGATCAATGTTCTTTCCCTCTCTAGGTGATTGTTGATTTCAAGCCATCATTGCAAGAATGCATTAAGAACTACCAAAAAACATTTCAACTCGTCGACGAAGCTCCTCCCCTTTTGTCAGACACCATCCCCCAAGACTGGGCACAAGATGCCGAGCCACAGTTCCTTTTGCCATTTCTGGAGCTGAAAAGATCAATCTGTAGTGCTTAAAATATCTTACAGTAGATCTGGATACATTGAGATAAATTAAGCACTATGTCACTAACTTGAGACGCTTAACCGCTTGGGGATAGTTATACCCTCTTACCATCATTCCCATCTGTGGTGCACGTCCTAATCTTTATTCTTGCCGCGAGACTGAACGGCAGTGGACTTCTCATCCTTGTACACGTGAAAAAAAATCCAGGGGGAACTTGACCAAAGAAAAAGACAAAAGAAGCAACGACAGCATGATACAAATATGGGGAAAAACATAAAACATATTCAAGTGTGGCTTGCAAAATGGGATCAGCTATGGCTATCATTGGCTATCAGTATATGACGGTTTGCCGCAAACCTAGCGCTGCCTTGCAGAATTGGTGAATTTAGTTGCTTGCCGCCTCACAACGAAGAGGAAAAAACACTACTTCCACACTAATGATCAACAACTAGTACAAAACTTTTGTCAATTAATTTTGGCAAATGGTCATATGTGCTATGATCAAAAGATAATCTATGCGGTATGGTCATCCATCCCATAATAGGAATCCTTATCATGGGTTTATAACATTATATAACTTCCTACGAATGTATTGGTGCATCTAGTGTAGTCTACAGCCAGCTGAAGCGGAACTCCCAGGTGTGATGACATGTTGAAACATCCACAGTCGACACGAGCATTACCCTCTGGTTATTTAACATAGCCATGGAAAAATGGCCCATTTATAGATGGTTTACCTATTAAAAATTGTGATTTTCCATGGCTATGTTAAATAACCAGATGGTACACCTCAAAATTCAAGATCACAGTCCAAAAATAACAGTATTCAACAGGACGATTATGTGCCAACAACTATTTTCAACAGGAACAAAACATATTCAAAGTCAAATTCGTGACAGGAAAATCCGTTTCCAAAGCCATTTTCCAGGGGTTCTATGTTGTCTTCTCTCCCAAAAGCCTCTATCTTTCTTGCCAAGTCTCCATGTCGTCAAAGCAAATGGAGCAGGCTTCACCCTCCAGCAGTGAAGTTCGACCCCATTTTTTGGGCAGGACTTCTATCCGATAGCCCTGGAAAACGACCATTGAAGCTTCAAACTGGTTGGTGGTTCACCCATCCCCCAAAATCTCTGGTTGGTGGTATACCTACCCCTCTGAAAAATATTAGTCAGTTGGGATGATTATTCCCAATGGGAAGGATTATCCCATATATTATGGAAAATGAAAATCATGTTTGAAACCACCAACCAGTAATCATCTTAAGCCAAATATCCCAACTATGGTCAAAAACCAAACATACTTGAACCACCCACCGCAGTGGCCCACCAGATCTTCCCTGACGGAGCGTGGCACATCTTGGAGGATGTTCTCCTTGGTCACCAAGAACCCAAGGTGTGGCTTTTTACGTCAAGATTGAAACGTTCCGGGATAATCCTGCTGGGTAGTTTTCTCCTTTCCTGATATTGCTACTTTATTATTATTTTGAATACTTTTATCCCAGCAGATCCCAGCAGGGCAAACAACAATCCGAGTGTAGGGTTCCCTTTCTCAAGGAAGATCCCCTCATCACTGGGTTCGTGCTACAACAAAACTGCCTGCACGAAATAAGTTGGTGATATCAGACCGATCACCTTCTCATTTCGTTCAGGGGCCTGCTTATTGGGGTCACCAAAATTGAGCCACAAAACTGATCAGTTTGAGTTGTACCATCTATTTTTGGGTCCACACATATTTCGTACTGTCAAGGGACAAACGCAAACTAATTTGGTGAATTTTGGGGTTCCTTGTGATACGCAACCATTTCGGTAGTTATTGGTGGATGTTCTTGTGGACCCGAAAAGCATCAATTCCATCCTTTGCTGACAAATCGGAGACCATTTCAGATATCTACACTGTATGTGCGGAACAGACGTTGCGATCTAAGGCCAAACTTCCCAGCATCACAGTAGCCAAAAGGATGGCATCACAATAAAAAACAAGTACAAACCGCAACAATAACAACAACAATAGCGATACTAATCCGTAATATCATCATCATCATCATCCTCATCATCATCCTCATCATCATCATCATCATCATCATCCTTGTCATCAACAACAACATCAACATCATCATCACAACCATCATCATCATCATCACCACCATCGCATTCTCCACCGTCATCCTCATCATCCTCATCATCCTCATCATCCTTCCCATCATCCTCGTCATCATCCTTGTCATTATCATCGTCATCAACATAGTCATCGTCATCGTCATCGTCATTGTCGCCGTCGCCATCGTCGTCGTCGTCGTCATCGTCATCCTCATCATCATCATCCTCATCATCATCATCATCATTATTATTATTATCATTTCCATCCATTTTGGGTACCTTTTTTCTCAGCCATTCTTCCCACCAAGCATCCATCTTGGCCATCATTCTGCTCTTTTTCCTCGAAACCCTGAAAATCTCCTTCTGCAAGGGCGTCAACTGATCCTTAGGAGCTGCGGCTCCAACCTCCTCAAGAAACTGCTGGGTTAATCATCAACCATTGTAATCAAAAACGTAACTAAGTGACCAGAATTCGCAATTTTGGAGCTTCACAATTCTTGACAAATTGATACAAATTGTATATTTTTGTTGCGTAGATCTCAGGGTCATGGACCAAGGACCCAGGGTTCCATGATTTTTTCGCGTTGCTCCAGGTTTTCCAACTGAAGTTGCATCGCAGCCAACACCCAGCCACTCCAACTTCCAGCGGTAGCCGCTAGCCAACCAAAGAACCAAATCGGAGAAACTCTTTTGGCCTCAAAATAAATTGTGGATATGAATGTAAACCAAACTCTTTAACCACAAAATTGTGGATAATTATTGAATCCGCTAGCCAACCAAAGAACCATGTGGCCTCAAAATTCGGATTCAAGTTGGATTTGAATGTTGCTTACCAAACTCAACATTTGGGGAGACGACATCCTTAAGAAAATGCTAATAAGTTGTTTTTCTCTATGTTTCTTTCTACTCCTACTTTCTATCCCCAAAAAAAGGATCTCCACTGTGTACAAATTACTGGACTTCACAACCTAAAAAAAACAAAACCACTTTGGAGATATAATTCCGTCACCCGTTCATATTAAACACCACCTGGTTGGTGGTATACCTACCCATCTGAAAAATATGAGTTCGTCAGTTGGGATGATGACATTCCCAACTGAATGGAAAAATTAAAAAATGTTCCAAACCACCAACCAGGTTGGATATGGGTTGAGACCAGATGTTTGGGACCTTTTCGAATGGGTGTGCTAGATATATTTTGGGAGTGTTTTCCATGAACTGTCCCATGATATGTTTTCCTTTTAAATGTCCATGAAAACCCATGGTTTAAAAATATGACTGGGGGTAGGGGGTAACACTAACAATCAACATTGCATTAATACTCCAGCCATATTCCATTCATACTCCATTGATATCCCATTCTGAAAAAACTCCGTCCATATTCAGAACATCATCTTTGCATATTCCCATTTAATCTCCATGATAAACTCATTGCCAATTTTAGATACCCTGCAACAAATTAAATTCTTTGCTGGTGAACGTAGATATTCCCATTAATACCAAAAGACTAGTTAGGATTGAAGTATCCATCTAAGATTCTAAGATTGACCTTGGATATACTATGCACATTTTTTTTGATACCCTCTGGTTATTCAACAGTTCGCCATGGAAAATCACCATGTTTAAGAACGGTAAACCATCTATTTCTATGGACCATGACTTCCATGGCTATGTTAGTCATAACCAGAGGGTAAGCATTCCATTTCTTTCGTTGCCAAAGCTCCATCAAGAATGCTATACACTTAGGCGTAGCCACTGGTAAATTACCCTCTGGTAAACATACAGAAAACTATGGAAAATCACTATGCTATTAATGGGAAAACTCACTATACATGGGCCATTTTCAATAGCTATGTTAGTTTACTGGAGGGTAACAGTTTGACCCTGAAAATCACCATGCTATTAATGGGAAAACTCCATTGCACATGTCCTGATTCGACCGCTGCCAAGGGATCCAAGTGATCCAAGGGAACCAAGGGGCTGAGATCAGCATCTCTAAGGTGTTGGCATCACTGACTTCTCTCAACATCTCAGGGGTTTCCTGAACGCGAAAGATCGGGGGTTGGGGGCCAGAGACCTAACTTCTATGGCAGCCATGGGATTTACCCGAAATGGTAAACATTCACAGTTTGCTATTGAAAATGGCCCAGTCGAAATAGTTGATTTACCCATAGCTTGGTGATTTTCCATCGTTTTTTGTAAATGTTTTCCAGAACTGTAACTTTTCAATCCCGATCACTTGGAGTAACTTGGGATATGGGGCCCTGAACTTCCACTTGGCCCTGGAACTGTGGGGCCCCACCGGCAAACAAAAGGCGGACGCGGAAGGGACCCGGAAGATGAGCCGATGAGCCCATGGGCTCATCGTAGAGGTGAATGTTGGGAATTTCTATACGGTGAAACGAAAAAAAAAACCTGTTTGGTGGTATACCTACCATTGGTTGGTAATATACTGTCAATAATGGTTAATATTAATGGTTAATTATATGGTTAATGATGGTTAATTAGCTATTCTGGTTGGTGGTTGAGCCCTACCCCTCTGAAAAATATGACTTCGTCAGTTGGAAAGGATGACATGCCATATATGAAATGGAAAATAAAACATGTTCCAAAGCACCAACCAGAAATCAAATGAATTCAAATAACCTATGCTGCTTCAATGGGAAGAATCCCTTCCCCCATTCATATTAAACACCCCCTAAACAAAACCATGTTTTTTTGTTGGGAATTTCCACATTCCATCGATTCCATTGGGACCATAGAAATGGGGTGTTTAATATTAAGGTGATGGGATTATGGTAGAATAAAACTAAGCTGACTGCAGACAAGATCATGATGCCTGAATGACCTGCGACGTCAACTGGGAATGTCTCTGTTGAGCCTGCTGGGTTTCGGAAAATGCTGCATGCCACTGGATAGCCCAAGTTGTGGAAATAGGAAATCACGAACCATTGAAGCATGGGATATGTTTTTTCTCAGAGAAACCAAGATAATAAGTTGACCTGCTTATTTTCGGGGTGGAACATGCTGAAACTCAATGGTTTTACAAACATCTAGCCGTATGGAAATCAAACATCCTATTAGATGCTCACTATGGATGGGAATATAAACCAACCAAATATATCCCATTATAACCCAATAATTATATATATAATATATATGTCTATATATATATATGTCTATATCACATGTGCGAAGCACAACAATAAATCATTCTTAGGTGGTATAAACCATTCCCAGTCATGGGTGGTTTATGGCATTGTGTTACCCACATTAATATTTGAAGTATCAGGTGATTCCGAATTTTCTATAAACCAGGTTCTATACCAATTTTCTAAGGTGTTCATCAGAAAATTAGACAGGTTCTAAAACACTTCCATCCAGGTTCTATTTATCTATGTAACATGTACTATTAATTCAATGTCTATGAAACATTCCAGGTTTTCTATGTATATATTTGATATATTATATTGTAACATATTCTATGGGATAATTATCTATGGGTTATCAATGTACCATTCTAGTACCAAAAGACATTGATAATATTTAATGTCCTATGTAATATCTAATAATTAATCCATTGATACCAAAAGACTAGTTAGGATTAAAGTACCCACCTAAGAAAATAAATGGATACTTTATCATGGAAATGCATGATATATGCAATGTGTACTATAAGATGGGTACTTTTTGGTCAATCCTATATAGTACCCATCTAAGATTATCCTATATCATGCAATGTCTATGAAACGCTGAGCGTTTCGCGCCAGGTGTCTGTCTGCCCATTCACCTCCAGGATCACCTGGCCAGCACGAATCTGGCGCTCCGCCACTCCGCGCGCTCCGCGCCCTACGTGCGCCGCGTTCCAGCGCGAGGCGGCGGTACACATATCCTACAGTCGGTGCGTGGCGAAAGGTGTATTTTTATCGGTTTTAAATGGTTTTAATATGTTTTTTTAGGGTGAGAAGATGAGGCTATATGAGGCTGAAACTGTGGATCTATATGGTTTCCTAAGTCATGGGGTATACCCCCGGTCATCATCCATTTATAGATGGATTGTCCATTATAAACCCTCCATTTCGGGGATCCCCCATTGATGGAAACCCCCATATAATTTTATACATTCAAAATTGGGAGCCAACAAAAGGCTGACTTCATGGATATTTAAGAAGGATATAGAAGGATATAATGGGGTATAGAACCAATTTTTTAACGTGTGGCTTTGTCTGACAATGCGGTATAGGTGAAACATGTTTTTTCGTAGCCATTTTTCTGCTATCAACATGGGGAAATCATGGGAATCTATGGAATTGGGGCTGCCAGAATTTCATGGATATTTCGTACAATGTGGGGCCCCCGTTCGATAGCCAAGTTGGTGCACATAACTCCAATGTCACTATGGTTTATGGTACGCAAATAACGAACTAGTTATATAGTTATGGGGGTTTATAAACCAACTTTATAAACCATCCACATACATCCCATAGGATCCATGTATGCTATATATGGTAACATTTACCATCAATATACCCCCAATGTTAGCATATATACCATACATGGATCCCATGGGTATATATATATATATGTAGCAAAAATCGATGGAGGATATGTACGAGGTTTATGGTCATCAATCCCATGGCTATTTCAATGGGAGATCTCCAGGATCCGAACAGATGGAGCTACGTAAACGTACCATATGTTTGGCCATATGAATTGTGGGATATTCCCTAAAAAATAAATAGGCTTGAAATATAGGCCTTAAAAATATATGGAATCGGTACCTCCAATCAATCGGTTCCTGTTGCATGGCCATTGAGTATTTGACTCCCTATGAAAATCCGACCAGATCAAATTTGACAATGGGAAATCACCAAAAAATGTAGGGTTTGAGGGGAAGAACAATTATGGATGGACTTTCTATTGCCATGTTTGACTACCAGAGGGCAATCAAAGCACGATACTAATTACTTTACACTATCCCATATGCTCTATGTATGCAATATTTACCAACATTTGCCCTACAAATCGCCCAGTTTTGCATTGCCAATCTTAGATACCCTGCACAAAAATAAATTCTTTGCTGGTGAACGTAGATATTCCCATGGATACCAAAAGGCTAGTTAGGATTAGTTTGCATCCATCTAAGATTGACCTAGTATAAATCTCAGAATCTCATGGAGTCTGAATTGGTTTTACTGCAATGTGGGGCCCCCCGTTCGATAGCTAAGTTGGTGCACATAACTCCAATGTCACTATGGTTTATGGTACTTAAAAATAACTATAGTTATGGGCGATATAAACCAACAAACATCACTGGGGGGCCCCACATTGTGCTTTTTGGAACTCGGTGGAACCAGAGTTTTTCTGATTCGTTGGAAAACATACGCGGCTGAGTGTCTTGTGTGATGTCCCGGATCACCAAACCTGGGCCCAAAAGAATGCCCCGAGTTCTGCAGCTTTGTCGGTAGGATGATGTCGGAGGTAAGTTATGGTTTGTTAAAACCAGAAATCCTGGAATAACAGATTCATGTTTTTTTTGTTTTTGTCACTTGGCAGTGTGTCAAAACCTTGTACCCCTGGTGAACATCAAAATAGCTGGTAAATGGATGTTCATCCCACTAAAAATGGTATTATATAATAGGTATTGATCCACTTTGGTCTTTGCCATAAACATCAAGTGCAGTTTTCTTGCTACTTCCGAGTATTGATCCAATTTAAGGGCATTGTGCCATGCTATGCTGAGCGCTCAAAAAAAAGCCGACCTATGGTGTACGGTCAGGAAGGATTCCTTCTATACCAGTAGTACCGCACAAGGCGGTGGCGGAAGTTTCAAAAATAGGAAACCTATAGGAGAAGAGTGTTGCTGTGGCGCAAAAATGGCAGAGCGAACCCACTGATGGATTGAAAGGTGGTTGTGTGTTTTCTTCTGACGGCACGATGGCGCACGCCAGCACAGCGGCAGCCGACGATTCCTGTCCGCTGTTGCTAGGACCAAGCTGCCGCGACACCGCGAGGCAGACACGTCGGAGGGATGGGCAACATTTCTTCATGTTTTTCTGTACGATCGTAACCGTGGGTTATACCATTGCATGCTAGCTGTCTTTCTAATCCTGTATCGACGCTTATGGTAGGAACATGTCCATTGGATGAGAGTATATCGGTTGTCCTTTCATGGTGGATTCATCAATATGTTCAATATGTTGGTATTGTGATGCTATGACTCTCATCCTATGAATGATGTGTAGATGCTTGGTTTTTAGTCATGAGAGTGTCCATCTTCACTTAAGACGGTTTAGCTCTCACAACACGTTCTGTGTGTTTATCGATTCATCCATGCATCTGTCCGTCTCTCTGTTCTTCCAGCCATCCATCGATCTATCCAGCTATCCATGAGTTTATCTGGACATGGACGTGTCTAGCGATCTTTCGATCTAGCGATCCGTGTGTCCATCGGTCGTTCCATCTAATTGTCGATCTTTTTCTCTATCTAGCCACCCATCTTTCGATTTATCTCTCGATCTGTCTATGTATCCATCGATCTAGTTGCCCGTCTATCTATCGATTTAGCTATCAAATCCCATGGTATCTATTCCCTGTTGTGCTTCCAAAACCGATGCCTGCCAGAGGGCTCACTGCGTTATTTTCCATCGTCGGCCGTCGGTTGCATGATCTCGGAGACAAAACGGATGCACAACCTAAATGCGACACGGATGGGTTAGAAGAAACATCATCAGCCTCCAAAAGTGGTCCGAACATGGTGTGTTTTGGACATTTTGACTTCGAAATCTGCTTCGCGCCACAGCGGCGTGCACTTTTTCGAAACTCGACGTCTCAACTTCCAAAAGTGGTCCGAGAATGGTGTGTTTTGTGCATTTTCACTTGGAAATGTGCTTCGCGCCACAACGGCGTGGACTTTTTCGAAACTCGACTTTGAAACTTCCAAAAGTGGTCCGAGAATGGTGTGTTTTGTACATTTTCACTTGGAAATCTGCTTCGCGCCACAACGGCGTGCACTTTTTCAACATCTCAACTTCCAAAAGTGGTCCGACATTGGTGTGTTTTGTACATTTTGACTTGTAAATGTGCTTCGCGCCGCAACGGCGTGCACTTTTTCGACATCGCAACTTCCAAAAGTGGTCCGAACGTGGTGTGTTTTGTACATTTTCACTTGGAAATCTGCTTCGCGCCACAACGGCGTGCACTTTTTCGACATCGCAACTGCCAAAAGTGGTCCGCTCCTCTAGTGTTTTGTCCATTTTGGCTTGGAAATGTGCTTCGCGCCACAACGGCGTGCACTTTTTCATGTCTCATCTGGCCAGCTGGCTCCGCACCCGCCGCTTTAGCGAGCCTACTTTTCGACCCTCCGGAGCCACAAATCATTGGAAAAACACAGTGTATCGCGACTTTCCTACCTTTTCACGCATCTTCATCTTCTTTCTTCTTACTCTTCTTTCTTCTAATCTTTCTCTTCTCTCTGCCTCTTCCCTGCTCTGCTTTTCATCTGTCCATATTGTCGGAAGTTTAGCTTCTAAACTTCCTTCGATAATTGTTGTAGCCTCCGGTAAACTAACAGTTTGCTATTGGACATGGCCCATAGAAATAGTGTATTTATATACCGTTCTTAAAGATTGTTACTTTCCATAGTTATGTTAGTTTACGAAATCCAGAAACCCTATAATTACCACTCCCATATGCTCCATGTATGGAATATTGACCAACATTTGCCCGAACAAAATCACCCAGTTTTGTAGGTTTTTATATACCAGCACCATGGAGCATCTGGGACTATAGTGCACATTCTTCATTATTTGTTTCTTTCACGCCTTCTTTGGCCCAACAACTGGGTCTGACTGTCAAGGTGACATGACCCAGACCGGGGAGCGATTCTCCTCGCCTTATAAACTCAACTAGCCGCTATCACACACCTACAATGTGGGCCCCCCCAGTGATGTTTGATGGTTTATAAACACCATGAATACTAGTTCGTTATTTGCGTATCATAAACCATAGTAAAGTTGGAGTTATTTGCACGCACCAACTATCCAACGGAGCGAGCTATCGAAAACAACGGGGGGCCCACAGGCCGTAGGCTTTACCGACTCCACTCCCTCCCCATCTCCTTATCTCCCCAGAACGGGATTCCAGTGCAGTGACCCCGGAGTGACGTAGTTGATCAAGATACTGTATCTGGTTGGTGGTTTCAACCTACCATTGGTTGATAATATACTGTTAATAATGGTTATATAATATTAATGGTTATTGTATGGTTAATGATTGTTAATAATATTCTGGTTGGTGGTTTCAACCTACCCCTCTGAAAAATATAAGAGTTCGTCAGTTGGGATTAGGAAATTCCCAATATATGGAAACTGTATACCCTCTGGCACTCTGGTAAACGGTCCCAAAAAAGCGATCGGAAATATTCGAAAATCACCATTTTGTATGGATAAATCACATCGGGTATTGTCAATAGCTATGTTAAATTACCAGAGGGTATGATTCATATTCCCATTGTCATTGCCAATCTTAGATACCCTGCAAAAAATGACAAATTCTTTGCTGGTTAGTAGATATTCCCGTACCAAAGGACTAAAGGATTAAATTATCCATCTAAGATCGACCTAGTCAAGGCTTCAAGGCCTTACATTTTCACCCATACCCCGAAATGGGGGTACCCCCAACTCAACCAAGATTAGACCAGTTTAGTATTAAAACACCCATGGTGACTTGGGGATCACCCATTTTAAGAACCTCATATCCCATCCAACATGTATGGCAGGTGGGCCGCAACCTTCGCTCAAGGAACCTTGATCCTTTGGTCCATTGGGGGCAAACGTAGCGACAAATCCTGAGATCGAAGAATTTTTGAGTGCCGGTCATCATCAACGAACTTGGGATTTAATCGGAATATAATAGGGATGTGGTAAGCCCAATCACAAACCTACCTTTGGGGGACAGCTTTTACAACCCATTTATGGTCTTTGCCACAGAAAAAAAACATGTGGATTTACCCCATGGACAAGCTTGGGACCTTTAACTTCATGTTCATGGATGCAAAAAAAAGTATTGGAGATCTGAAAAAGGCCGTGGGGATTTAACATTTTTAACATGATTTAACCGCCTGAAGATCTTTGGGTACCTTCCAGCAATCTTAATTGGCTAATCTAGGCATAGATGATTTTCCATCAAACCATGTTTGCTCACCAAAGGGTATCATATATGTTGAAATTTTGGTGTTTTTAATCCGCACCACACAAGACAAATCATGAATGGAGACTGACGCAAAATGGAGGTTTCCTGAAATAGGGGGACCCCTAAATCATCCATTTTAATAGGATTTTCCCTTGTAAACCATCCATTCTGGGGTACCCCCAATTTAGGAAACCCCCATATATGAACCACCAACCATTCGTATGTTCGACTGTGACATGTACACTAACAAATACAATCAGGAAAGTCGCCAGCATCATCAAGGCGATTTCTGCAAAAAGGTTAACTTGACAGCATTATTCTTGCAAGATTTGGAACGTAGAATTGGGGATTACTTCGGGGCTTGCAGGGCATTTCCTGAGGATGAATAGGTTCTTGGAATCCCAATATTTCCAAGAAACACACGGTTTCATCATCTGGTTGGTGGTTTCAACCCCTCTGAAAAATATTAGTCAGTTGGGATGATTATTCCCAATATATGGAGAAATAAAAAATGTTCCAAACCACCAACCAGTCATGGTTCTTGTGGAAATCGCCATTGTTTTGAAAGTACACCTTTAAAAAAATCAATCTGAGATCCACAATCAGAAATCATCCAAAGTTATTATTGTCCATGATTTAAGGGACGCTTTGCTCTACCCCGTTTTTTTTTTTCTGGGGGATGCCCCTCCTCTCCCATATGCTCCATGTGTGGAATATTTACCAACATTTGCCGCAAAAAACACCCAAATGCAGGTAAATATCTCATACATTGAGCATATGGGTCTGCTGGGCCCAGAAACCGTAGCGGTCCGATTCTCCGTCACGGGTGAGTGCCACGCGAAAGCCACGGCGTGGTCTTTGTCGCTGCGAGCAGAAGCAGCCTCTCTGGCGGAAGTTTTTCGCAGACGCCCAGTAGTTTCAAAGTGATTCATAGTGGTGAATAGTGGATTAATAGTGGTTAATAGTGGTTTAATAGCAGCTAATAGTGGTTTAATAGTGGTTAATAGTGGTTTAATTGTGGTTAATAGTGGTTTAATTGTGGTTAATAGTGGTGACAATAGTGATTTATAATGGTACAATCAAAGATGGCAATGGAAAATGCCCCATGAATGGAGGCTTTCATTGGAAAATCATCTATAAAAATGGGTACTTTCCATTGCCATGTTTGACTGCTGGAGAGTAAACCAAATATTGGGACATGAATATAGGAATGGAACATGAATGGTCAAGACAATATCACATATTGAAACTTTGTGACATCAACAGGATATCAACTTTATATTTATGGTGGACCATTAAACCCACGTAACTATACAGGGGGCTTTAGGTATTTCTCAACTGCGGTAAATGATCTGCCGAGGGATTTTCCATTGCCGTGCCAACAACCATCGTGTCCCTTAGGCACAGATATGGCCCTTTACCATTCATAAGTACTTATAACCCCATTTATGGAAAGTACAATTCCATTTATAACCAGTTACAACTAATAAATGTCCATAACTGCACTTATCTGGGTGTGTTTGTTTGTTTGTGTGTCAAGGTAGCTACTTGTAATCACCAACACACAAAGTGAGTGCCATCCTGCCAGGTCAAACAAGGCCAAACAGAACGCTTTGGATGTCGGATGGGAACGGTTTTTAGTATATCCACAGTGATCCATTCTTTCGATGTCGGATGTGTGCCATGGTCCAAAATTATGGTACAGAGTACAGTATATCATTGCAAATCTTAGATACCCTGCAAAAATGACAAATTCTTTGCTGGTGAACGTAGATATTCCCATTAGACTAGTCAGGATTAGTTTGTATCCATCTAAGATTGACCTAGTATAGACTAACATAACTATGGAAAATCACCATTTTTCATGGGTAAATCAACTATAGATGGGGTATTTTCAATAGCTATTTTGACATAACCAGAGGGTAAGCATTCCATTGTTTTACCAACGGCTTAGCATGTAGTGATTGACCTAGTGATTATTGCTGGTCATCCCATCACTAATGGTTCAATGGCCATGACGAAATGGAACCGATAAATATTGAAGCTACCTACCGTATATACCCTCTGGCAAACTAACATAGCTATGGAAAATCACCATTTCTAATGGGAAAATCCACTATAAATGGCCATTTTCAATAGCTATGTTAGTTTACCATCTGTTATCCCTTCTCATCTGGGTTGGTTGAGAACGGATTTCCCAGCTCTTGGATTCTGGTATTTCCCAAATGATATAACGGTTAGTTGTTTATACCCTGTGAAAAATCTCAAGCAACCGAGGCATTCAAGACTGCAAAATTTAACCACTACATCCCACATATCACAGTATATATCCCAGTTTTATCCATCATTGTCTTGTAGTTTCATAGTTATATCCCACTATATCATTAAATCAGATATTGCATCACCATGTGATTTTTGTCATTTTTTTCGGAACCCCCAATCAGTTGATGGTTAATACATGGGTCATTAAATGTCCCCATTTTTCACATCACCCAACCATGAATGGTATATGGTCTACTAGATGGCTACTTTTTTAGGTGATGTCCAATATTCCCAAAATGGGACAGGCAAACCAACCCCTGATCAACTGATTGGTTGGGTAGCCATTATAGTAGCCATTATAGACCATATAGTAGCCATTATAGACCATATACCATTCATGGTTGGGTGATGAAAAATGGGGACATGACTAATGACCCATGATTGATGGTCCCAGGGGTCCCAGGACTAATCCTTTGACCCACCATGGCCGGCCATGTTTTTCCGTGGAAAAACATGGTGCCCCACGGCGAGTTAAAGTGGGTTAGTTCACCCCAGTGATTTACATGGGATAAGTAGGGTTAATCCACTTATAACTGGGGTTATAACCCACTTACTAAGTGGGATGAGCCACCAAGCACCCGCAAGTCCACCTCCAAAGACCATCTTGGCCACCGCAGGACGTTGAGCCACGAGCGACCAAAAGCTAAGCCGGGCTAAGCCACAGCTGCGGGAAAAAAGCGATGTTTTTGTCGACCCCCAAAGGCCTGAAAACTCTACAGTAATAATAAGGGCATATGAATAATAATTCAGTCATTGTGCCTCTTTTCATGATTCACAACAATTCTAGATATGGATTATTATGGATTTACACGTATTCAATATACATCAAACAAACATGTGTCTTCCATTTCATTGGGATCTTTGGGGTATTCACTCATGGTAAGTATCCATTACTGCTATCCGAGGTGATCTAGGTATTGTCATATTAGATACCTGCAAACAAATCGTTTCTTTCTTGGTGATTGTAACTACTACCACTGTGAACAACAATTCACTCATAACCCATATAGGATCCATGGTGCTGGTATATAAATGCTAACATAAAGGGGGTATATTGATGGGATCCATGTTACCATATATAGCAGCACCATGGATCCTATGGGTAACATCACCTACCCTGTCGTTTTGTGAACAACGGCAGTTGCTCCGTTGTCACTCGTGGAGTTTGTGTCGCCTTGTCACTGCTGAAACTTAAGGGTCCTCCGGGACGATACCATCCCGGAGGTTCAGAACTTGACCAGTTGGACAAACTAACTTTTCTGGTTGGTGGTTGAGCCACCTACTATTGGTTGGTAATATACTGTTAATAATGGTGCATATTAATGGTTATGATGATGGTTAATGATGGTTAATTAGCTATTCTGGTTGGTGGTTTTTCCCCACCTACCCCTCTGAAAAATGATGGAGTTCGTCAGTTGGGATTATGAACTTCCAAATATATGGAAACATGAGAAACATGTTCCAAACCACCAACCAGTTTTTGTTTGAATGGATCTCCAGGGGCCCAAACCCCGGCACCTAACCCGCGGAACCCCAAATATATAGCTGGTTTGTATGGATGTTCATCCCACTAAAATTGGAGAATCAGCAGGGTTTTGAGCCACCCCCAGATGACTCCAAGTTGCCAATCTCTCTCTTCCTGGCGCTGGGAACATCATCAAAGTGACTAGGGAAAAGAATGGCCAAGTGAAAAAATGTGTCAGAATCCTGGAGGGAAAGCTGAAAACATGGCCTCTGGGCCATGCGTCAGGTTGCTCTTTTTCTAAACCATCATTCCAGCATCGTTGAAAGGTGATGTCGTTCTCATTCCTTCAGAGCTTTTTTGTGTTGTCTGAAAATCTGGTACCCTAAAATCATCATGTTTCCAGTTACAATTAATATTTGTTTTAATCTATATAATACTAAGCATAGTGGCTTTTTGCACATACGAGTGGCTTGTCAGCTCCAATCTTTTTTGAGTTCCAAATTGCAGATCCAGAGGCTGCGAGAACTCATACTCTCACTACAAGGTGGTGCCCCCCAGTTATAAGATGGTTTATAAACCCCATTAACTATAGGTATATCACCCATAAACCATAGTTATTGGAGTTATTTGCACCAACTTAGCTATCGAACGGGGGCACCACCTTGTAGTGATCTCTACATTTTGCCAGTTTTATCACTTTTTTGCTACTGGCATCATCTCTATGCTGGTTGATGTATGGGATGTTCTTTCCATGTGTGTTAGCTTGCTACCAAATTACATGCAGTAAAAAAAAAACCTGTGTGACCATTTATACATTATACATACCAGACGCTCCATATATATATGGGGATATTGGCCAAGACCTACCCCTATTTTATCCTATCTTATCTTATCTTATCTATCTAATCGATCTATCTATCAAATCTATCTAATCGATCTAATCAATCTATCTATCTAATCTATCCTATCCTATCTAATCTAACCTAATCTATCTATCTATTTATCTATCTATCCAATCTAATCTAATCTAACCTAATCTAATCTAATCTATCTATCCATCTATCTATCTACCTATCTTATCTTTTCTCATCTTTTCTTATATTATCTATCAAATCTATCAAATCTATCTATCTATCTAACCTATTTAATCTATCCTATCCTATCCTATTCAATCTAACCCAATCTAACCTAATCTATATATCTATCTATCTACCTACCTACCTACCTACCTATCTATCTATCTATCTATCTAAATCACCTGGAAATAAGGGCCTCAGCCGCTCCTTCTCGGCCCTACACCCCAGCGGATCCATTCCCAAACTGCTTGGTGGTTGAGCCACCCCTCTGAAAAAATATATGGAAAAATAATTGCCAATCTTAGATACCCCGCACAAAAATAGATTCTTTGCTGGTTAGTAGATATTCCAATTGATACCAAAAGACTCGTTAGGATTAGTTTGTATCCATCTAAGATTGACCTAGAAATGACAAAAATGTTCCAAACCACCAACCAGCTTCCCATTCCCAAAACTTTCTCAGATATTCCCAGCATGGATCCAGTCTTCCAGCTTCAATGCCTATTGTATAGATGATTTGCTTCGATGGTGCACGTCTTGAATATGACGTTTTTCCATAGCAAACTGACCAATTTGGTAACCCCCCGGTAATCCCATCCCCTGTTCATTTTAAACAGCCTCATTCTATGGTCTCAAAATGTCTCAAATATGTGTAGATTCTCTTCATCCACCATGGTTTCATGTTAGGGATTGCGAGGAGAGGCCTCCCAGTGATGCCACCATTGGCTTATAAACTCATGAATGAATTGTAGTTCCATCCCCAACCAAAGCAAGTTATGTGCATCATGCATCAACTCAGCTGCCTCCAACAAACCCTGCTGGGAAGCTAGGCAAAAAATGATCTGGCAAGCTAGGGAGCCATCCATGATGCCATGACCTGATGGCTTTTATCATATGAAAAATCACCATGATAATGCCTGGTATCATCACCATTAATTGGGGGTTTCCATAAATGGAAGTACCCCAATAGCTCGCTGGATGGTTTATATATATACACATATAATGGAAGATTCGATCCTATTTAAATGGATGATTTGGGGGTATTCCTATTATAGGAAACCCACAAATCACCATATATCACCATGATAAACGGAGGTACATTGCCAATCTTAGATACCCTGCACACAAATAAATTCTTTGCTGGTGAACGTAGATATTCCCATACCAAAAGACTAGTCAGGATTAGTTTGTATCCATCCAGTCGATTGACCTAGTATAGACTAACATAACTATGGAAAATCACAATTTTTCAAGGGTAAATCAACTATAGATGGGGTATTTTGAATACAATGTGAGGCCCCCCCAGTTATAAGTTGGTTTATAAACCCCCATAACTATAGTTATAAATACCATAAACCATAGTTATAGTTATAAACCAACTTAACTATCGAACGGGGGCACCACATTGTAGCTATGTTAAATTACCAGAGGGTACCTCACCTTGTACAGACTTGGCCCAGCGGCGCTGCTTCCCACCTCGACCGTCTTCGAAACCGGGGCGCTGCTGTTTTGTGCCACAGCTGGAGCCTGCTGGCGCGGCTGCTGGGTGCTTGCAGGAAATCATGGGAAATCTACAATGTGGGGCCCCCAAGATAGCCAAGTTGGTGCACATAACTCCAATAACTATGGCTTATGGTACTTATAACTATAGTTATGGGAGTTTATAAACCAACTTATAACTGGGGGGCCCCACATTGTAGAGGGCTCATTGGAAAATCAGCGAACATGACCAAATATCTGGTTGGTGGTTGAGCCACCCCTCTGAAAAATATGAGTTCGTCAGTTGGGATGATTATCCCATACATTATGGAAAAGAAATAATGTTTGAAACCACCAACCAGATATCATAGGAGCATCACTGAAAACTGCTGCTCCTTCTGATGTTTGGGTTACAAACCCATTAACTATCGCATCTATCGTTCTATCATGTTCTATCCCAAAAATAAAGCCAGGTAAACCAAATGATGTGCGTCAACTTTGCGAACGGAGGCCTCACCTTGCGAAAAACATGACCAGCTCCGTGCACGGAAAAAAAACAACCCGCCTCTATCGAAGGGTAACCACCTGCAAAAATTGTGGAGATGCTGCCGCCAACCACTATGGGGATCTGACCCACCTACCCTCCGGTCAACGTTTACATAAAACCATGGAAAATCACCATGCTATTAAAGGGTAAATCCACTATTTCGACTGGGCCATTTTCAAAAGCAAACTTTTTTTTTACCAGAGGGTAACCCATATGCGAACCATGGTGCTGGTATATTTACCTACAAAACTGGGCGATTTTGTTCGGGCAAATGTTGGTAAATATTCCAGCACCATGGAGCAATATATGGGTAAGATTCAAGAATTTACGCAAAACAAAATCGGAAATCATGCGGCAACAATGAAGATGTGAGTTAGAACATTTTTTTGGAAGCCTTTTGTGAACATGTTCATCATATTACATATTTATTTGAATAATTCCAGGAACCCACATGACATACTTGACTATGGGATAACCTTGACATTGACCTGAGATATCCGGTCCAAAATTGGAGTGTCACCAGTCACCATGTTCCCTCAGGTCCATGGACGATCAAAAACTTATCCGTGAACTTATCAAGTTCACGGATTGAAAACACTTGGAGCTGCAAATGATCTTCATCTTCCCATCCAAGTGAATGTGCTCGCTGAATCGAAATGTGGCGGACCCCTCTTTGCCTCAGATTTCATCAGCTAAGGTATCACTTTCGAAGCTACACCCACAGGATTGGTTCGGATGCAATCACTACCCTATATAAAGGTGGACTCTCCACAAAGTACGACATCTGAACTTCGGATTCAAACGATTCAAATTTGTGGATATTCAAACAGGAATATAAACACCCTTTAGTAATTTATTAACACAGTCATGGAAAATGATCCATTTCTAGATGATTGAAGTACTACAGTAGTCAGAAAAAAGGATGCCAAAAGACTTGTTTCCAGCATGCTATTCAGATGATGTGTTCCCCATAATTTCCAGTATCTTCCAGTCCTTTTCGTTCTCTTTTACCCTCTGGTAAACTAACATTTAACTATGGAAAATCACCATGTTTTTAAGGGTAAATCAACTATTTCTATGGCCACTTTCAATAGCAAACTTTAACAAATTACCAGAGGGTAATCATAGCCAGACCCTTCCGTGGACCCACCTGTGGCACCGTTCGGAACCGACCTAAGGAGAAACAGGTCGGAAGAATGACCTGCTGATGTCGCAAAACTTTTTTTGGGCTACTGGGGAGTAAATAATTGGTATATAATCCCAAATATCTATAGAACACACACATATATATATAATAATATATATATATATATAATATATAAATACATAATTATATCTAATATATACATATAATTTCTATATACTGGTGGACGATCATCCCATGTGTATTATTTGTTCCGATGAGATTTGAAACCACCAACCATCCATGATATATCAAGTCACCACACCGAAAAAGATCCGGAATTAATAATCCTGTACTATTCCCATGCCCCATTCATATTAAACACGCCCTAGAAAACATGGCTTAGTGGGGGATGAAACCACATATTTGGAACCAGAATGGGGGTGTTTGAGATTACAGGCTAATGAACCAAGCTGAATGATAGATACAAAAAAACAATAACAAACACATACCCTCTGGTAATTTAACATAGCTATTGAAAGTGGCCATAGAAATAGTGGATTTTCCCATTAAAAATGGTGATTTTCCATAGTTATGTTAGTTTACCAGAGGGTATCTGATTCCGAGACTCTGTGAAGAGTCGAAGGATGTTCGTTACATCATATCTGTGTCTCAAGTCGATCAAACCTCCCAAGCTCCAACCAGTAGTATCAACATTGTGTCAATGCTTTCTGCGAAGGTTGCAATGTGGGGCCCCCTAGATAGCTAAGTTGGTTTATAACTCTAATAACTATGGTTTTTGGTACTTATAACTATAGTTATGGGGGTTTATAAACCAACTTATAACTGGGGGGCCCCACATTGTGCACATATTGTCATTGGTATCTTCAAATGACGATACATGGCAAATCTTAGATACCTATATAAAGCAAAATATGGTGGGAGTTTATGGTTTATGGATGTTTATGGCCTACGCCCGGAAAAGGGCATCCAAAAACATATCTCGGATTTGCTGAAGGAACCACAACATTTATGAACCACAACAATTCCTTATAGATTCCCTAAACATCCAGTGGATTTCCTTCCGTATTGGGAAATAAAAAAAAACATCTTCAGCAAATCCAGGACAGTCCACATATATGGTTTTGTCTGAAAATAAGCTATCCTAAGAAATTGACGCATATTGGATTTAAATTTGTCACTGGAATTGGAAAGGTACTATGGATTACAGTCAATCTGATCATGTTCCTTCTTTTCCATGGATATTGGAGGTACAATGAGGGGCCCCCCCAGTTATGTTTGATGGTTTATAAACCCCATTAGTTATTTGTGTATCATAAACCAGTGAAATTGGAGTTCTAAACGCACCAACTGAGCAATCGAAAACGGGGGACCCACATTGTATAGAGACTTTTGTCACTGGAATTGGAAAGGTATACGTATGGATTACAGTCAATCTGATCATTTTTACTGTCAATCTTTCCCTCATTAATCTGGTGGTGATATTCCACTAGCAGTTTCAAACTCTGAGAATATCAACAGCAGATTAATTAATATAGATTAACATTGCCAATCTTAGATACCCTGCACAAAAACAAATTCTTTGCTGGTGAGTAGATATTCCAATTGATACCAAAAGACTAGTCAGGATTAAAGTATCCATCTAAGATTAACCTAGTATTTTAGCTAAGTTGGTTTAGAAACCCCATAAACTATAGATATATCTACCACCATAAAGCCTATGACTATTGGACTTACCCCCTAATAAACCCCTACAAGGTGGTACCCCCCCAGTTATAAGTTGGTTTATAAACCATATTAACTATAGTTATATCTACTATAAACCATAGAATTCAGCCACTTATAAGGCAACTGAACGCTATCTTGGGGGCCCCACATTGTAGTTTACTGATTGGCCCCACATTGTTTTTGGCCTATTTTCAAACCACACTCTGCGGCATCTCTGTCTCTGAGTTCGGACGTACAAGCCTCGCTGGGGAGCTCCTGCGCCAGAGGTGAGCAAAGGTCGTCGCCTTTGCTTAAGATGTAACTACTATGGGGGTTTTTAATGGGATTCAATGGTGATTCAATGGGATTTAATGGTGTTTTAATGGGATTTAATGGTGTTTTAATGGGACTCAATGGTGGTTCAATGGTTGTTCAATGGGATTGAATGGGACATATGATGGTATAGCCTCTGGTAAACATTCACAGTTTGCGACATAGAAAATGGCCATTGAAATAGTTGATCGACCCAGAAGCATGGTGATTTTCCATAGTTTTTGGTATGTTTACCAGGCCGGGTAAGTTTTTTATGGTGGTTTCCAATGAGAAATCTCCAGGTGGATGATTTCATGGAAAATCCGAGGAAATTGGATGATGAAATTGGGTATCTTAATACGCTGGGTGGGTTAAAATTGGATATCATGTTTCAAACTCTGATATTCCACTAGCAGTTTCAAATTGGTTCCACCTACCCCTCTGAAAAATGATGGAGTGAGTTCGTCACTTGGGATGATTTTCCATTCCCAACTGAAAATATGGCAAGTCATAAAATAAATTCCATGGTTTCCATGGTTCCAGTCACCACCAACCAGGTAACTAATATGGGATTCAAACAAACATGTCATTTTTGGCACGGGACAATTCCCTGAACGACCGATCCTGTGAGGTTTTTCGTATATCACCGGGAGAATCATGTGGTACCCTCTGGTTATTTAACATAGCCATGGTATAGGTGGCCCATAGAAATAGATGATTTCCCCATTAAACCACCCATTTATGGTTGGGATTTTCCATGGCTATGTTAGTCATAACCAGATGGTAATTCATATGGGAATAATTAGATGGGATAATTTTAATGGCTTAATGAATGTTAATGTGAGACTCACCCAATGCCATCAACATAAACATATATCAAATAAAATTATATAAACATAAACCATCCCATTCACCAACTATGACTGGGGGTCATAAATCTTCCCAATTTTTAGGGGACCAAAAGACCTGGTTTTCCTGGCTCCAAGCTGCTGATGATGGTCCCCGAACAGGTCAGGTTCCCTACATTTTGATGCAGCAGCTGCTTGTTCTAACCGCTGATGCTTGGAATGGCCAAAAATCCTATACCCATATGCTCCATGTATGGAATAATTACCAACATTTGCCCCAAAAAACACCCACATCCAAATGTAGATAAACATCTCATACATTGAGCATATGGGATAGTGAAATTGGAGCGATGTTTACCAAAAAAAAAAATCAAAAAAAAGTGCCTCACCTTGAAGTTATCTGAGAAAAAAAACCTCTTGACCCATCGCCAAAGAGATCATCCAAGAATGATCGAAAAATAAAATTTACGAACCTTGGTTTTTCACCTATAAATAGGATGAACCCATATACACCCTATTGTGGGTTTATAATCAGCCATAGAAAAAAAACATTAACCATACCTCATTAATCCTCATTATATCCTCATTCTATTCCCACATAAAAATCATTGCCAATCTTAGATACCCTGCAAAAAATGACAAATTCTTTGCTGGTGAACGTAGATATTCCCATTAATACCAAAAGACTAGTTAGGATTAAAGTATCCATGTAAGATTGACCTAGTAAATAGGATGAACCCATATATATATATACATCCTGTATAAACCTATATAACCCAATAATTAAACCCATATAACCCAGTTCCAAATCCATATAAACCTATATAACACCAGTTTATAGATTTATATTTATATAAGTCGTATCATACGACTCTTTTTTATAGACTCATCTTTCAATGACCCATATTAAAACCCATAATTTTAACCACATGTTCATCTTAATAAATCCATATTTTCCCCCATATAAACCCATAAATCCCATATAAATCCCATAAATCCCATAAATCCTTTATAAATCCCATAAATCCCATATAAATCCCATATAAATCCAATATAAATCCCATATAAATCCCATATAAATCCAATATAAATCCCATATAAATCCGATATAAATCCGATATAAATCCCATATAAATCCCATATAAATCCCATATAAATCCCATATAAATCCCATAAATCCTATATAAATCCCATAAATCCCATATAAATCCCATAAATCCCATATAAATCCCATAAATCCCATATAAATCCCATATAAATCCCATAAATCCCATATAAATCCCATATAAATCCCATATAAATCCCATATAAATCTCATAAAACCCATATAAATCCCATATAAATCTCATAAATCCCATATAAATCCCATATAAATCCCATAAATCCCATATAAATCCCATATAAATCCCATATAAATCCCATAAATCCCATATAAATCCCATATAAATCCCATATAAATCCCATATATATCCCATATAAATCCCATATAAATCCCATATAAATCATATAAATCCCATAAATCCCATATAAATCCCATATAAATTCCGCCAGCCGCGGCGCGGTCCCAGGTCCTCGTCCAGCTCCAGGTCGTCACCGATCACTACGGCCACGGGATCCATTGGATCCATGGGAGGAGCCGAGTCCTGGCGGTGAATTCAATGCCAAAATCCTATTTAAAGATCCTATATATATATATATAAAATGGAAGATCCTATTTAAATGGATGATTTGGGGGTATTCTTCTTTTTGTAGTACCATATATGATGGATGGTTATATGATGGATGGTTTATATATATGTGTGGCCCCCGTTCGATAGCCATGTTGGTTTATAAACCCCCATAAACACCATGAATACTATATCTATTTGCGTACCATAAACCATAGTGAAATTGGAGTTATAAACCAACTTGGCTATCTTGGGGGCCCCACATTGTGGGGTTTCCATAAATGGAAGTACCCCTTTATCGCTGGATGGTTTATACATATATATATATATATTGGAAGAACCTTTATATATATATAATGGAAGATTCTTTTTGTAGTGAATCTTGCCAAAATCATACCCACATTGGTAGTGAATATACCACCAAAAAATTGATTTTATATGATGTTTTTTTATATAACAAATTGATTTTTGTAGTGAATATTGCCACTTGGGGATAACAAATGATGGTAGAGTATCTATGATGAGATTTCACTTATCTTAAACAGATATCTTGCAAACATACACATTTTCGCAGACATCTGAGATATATCAAAATATATCAAATGTTAAACAACAATAATATCAAATCATCTAAAATCCATTTTGGTGGTCAATCATCTTGACAAAATCATACCCATACATTTTCACCCTATACATTGCTCATCTTAGATACCCTGCAAAAAATGACAAATTCTTTGCTGGTGAACGTAGATATTCCCATTGATACCAAAAGACTAGTTAGGATTAAAGTACCCATCTAAGATTGACCTAGTGAACTTGGTATTAAGATATACAGAATCGGATTAACATATAGTTGACACACTATATAGTGAACTAACATTAAGAATATCTTGGCTGCTAACTATTAGTATTAATTTGTATTAACTATATATATGTGTGAGCTAACTATAGTTAATTGATAATATAGTTCATAAACAATAGAGTTAACTCACAATAGCTATAAAATATGAGCCACGTTCTAAACCCCTGCATGTTTAGGAAGGGCCCCCTTGGGTGTGGCGTAAGGAAAACTCTGGTGTGCGCGTCTTATCAACACGTCAGCATCGGCGTAAGCATTTCCGATGGTAGTGCCAGGATAGAAGACATTTAGAACATGGCTATATATATATGGGTAAATTAAAATTATTCACTAACCTGAATTAAAGCCATTTGGGGATGATTCCCCTTATTTACCATGTGTTCCCCATAATTTCCAGTATCTTCCAGTCCTTTTCGTTCTCTTTTACCCTCTGGTAAACTAACATAGCCACGGAAAATCACATTTTTTTAAAGGGTACATCAACTATTTCTATGACCATTTTCAATAGCTACGTAACAAATTACCAGAGGGTATGATTCATATTCCCATTGTATTTCCATTAACTGGTGGTCAAATAAATACCCATATATATATATATATACATACAATGTGGGGCCCCCCAGTTATAAGTTGGTTTATACACCCCCATAACTATAGTTATAAGTACCATAAACCATAGTTATTGGAGTTACAAACCAACTTAGCTATCTTGGGGGCCTCACATTGTATGTGTGTATATATATATATAAACAAGTTTATCCACGACTTGACAATTGATATCAGTTCACCATGGGCGCCATCGGATTGATGCATCGGACTACTGAAATAGTTTTTCTCACACTTTCACTGCTGGTTGATGGATGTTGATGGCATACCTACCCCTCTGAAAAATGATGGAGTGAAAGTCAGTTGAGATGATTCTTCCCAACTGAATGGAAAAATAAACAACATGTTACACACCACCAACCAGACTAGGTTTAACCAAGTTTTCATAGAGTTTATAAACCAACTTTAGAGTTGACTATGTGTCTATTTATGGGTTTATGTGAATGATGGCTATGATGGTTAACTTAGTCCAGTTTTTGGGTGTTGAATCCACATGTGTCAGGATAGTGATGATCCTGATAAATGAGAGGTAATCTGAAGAGTCTTCTATCATGTGGTAAACCAAAAATGTCATAAACCTACCATGACTGGGGATGGCTTTTGTCGCACCCATTGATTCTACAATGTGAGGCCCCCGTTCGATAGCTAAGTTGGTGCAAATAACTCCAATTTCACTATGGTTTATGGTACGCAAATAACGAACTAGTTACTGGCGCGAATCTAAACCAACAAACATCACTGGGGGGCCTCACATTGCAACGGGATAGTGTATACCTGGGTTTACCACATTGGCCCAGAGTATTCTCTGGGTCTCAGACGTCACCGGGATGATCTGAAAAAACTGGAGCTGCACGGATTCTGGATCGGGCTACCGAAGTCATCCGAAGGCTACCCCCCAGTCATCATCCAGTCATCATCCAGTCATCATCCAGTCATTAGATCATGGAAAGGATATTGAAAGATATTGAAAGCCATCGTTTAACGTGGCTGGATCCCCCAATTTTTTTCGAGAAAGCACCAAATCTTCCAAGCAGGTGAGACACCGACATTGGCCACTCCCCCGATCCACCTCTGCCACGTCCAGCAAATCCAGCCCAGCCGAAGCGACCACATCGGCTGCTGGGGCCACCAGTGACGAGTCCTGCAACAGAGCCCGTTCTGGAGGTGCGACCCTTCCGAGGGCACAGGCTGATTTTCTTGATTGCTGATCATGTTGATGTGTTTGTTTTGTTTGCAAAACTAAAGGTCGAATAGAAAATAACCATTTCAATGTTATCAGTTTTCTGGGTGCTACATGTTCTGCAACTAGCATTTGTGGGTCCCCGACAGAAAAACACAGTTGCTCGAAGAAATATTGCCAGTCGTGAGGGATTTTCCGGGAAAATAACAAAGCACCTTGATCACCAGGTCCCCCCAGAAGTGCACCTCTGGGGCTGTCAGCAGTACCTGCCAGTGACAGCAGTGAGCCATGCCTCTTCGGTTGACCATGAACGATGTTATCTCTTGCATCCTGTGAGACATCTTCTGGCGATTCCTTAAGGGTGAAACAAAGATTTCCACATTCCACTTGTTCAACAATATTGCCAAATCATATAAAATCCAGTTTGATGGTCAAAAAAATCTTGACCCAATCATACCCATACATTTTCACCCTATACATTGCCAATCTTAGATACCCTGCAAAAAGTGACAAATTCTTTGCTGGTGAACGTAGATATTCCCATTGATACCAAAAGATCTTTCAGAATTGTCTTGACATGACACCGGCGCCAGGCGTTTGTTCAACGTGCCTGGTTCAAGCAAGGGTTGGTCGTTGGTCGACCTGTCAGAGTTGCTGAAGTCATCTCATACAAAAAAAACACACTTATACCCACAATGTGGGGCCCCGTTCGATAGCTAAGTTGGTGCACACATAACTCCAATTTCACTATGGTTTATGGTACGCAAAGAACTATAGTTGTGGGGGTTTATAAACCAACTTATAACTGGGCTGCCCCACACCACATTGCAACGGGGACATCACCAATTGAGAAGTTCAAGGTTGATAGATGTTGATAGGATAGTGTTGAAGCTCCGCGAAGCGGAACATGTCCGAACTGGAACTTCGGAACTGAGATACGTGTTTGATCAAAGCAAAGAAGCCCGGTTGAAACCACTCACCAGCAAATTATGGCCTCATATGGCCTCTTGAACCCTTTCTATGGCTCTGTTTTACCTCAGTATCCGCCCAGTCATCTCCAGTGTCTGGTGAAATTACGGCATCGTGGATGGAGGTTTCCTGAAATGCGGCTACCCCTAGATCATCCATTTTTTAAAATGATTTTCCCTTAGAAAAACCCACCCATTTTACGGTACCCCCATTTATGGAAACCACCCAAAAAGCTTCAATGATTGATTCCTTTGCCATAGATGGAGATAGCGAACACCTCAGCCATTTCCCCGGATCCCATTTGTTAGCAAGCAGCACAGAAGCGTTAAAGCGGTGCAAGAGCCAAAGACACCTGGAATGAGTGAAGTCATGGTACACATGGTGATTTAACTGTAGTGTCGGTATATCAAACTCTGGTGATTTACCCTCTGGTTATGACATTGCCCAGTTTGCCATGGAAAGATCCACCCATTTTTGAGTTCGGTAAACCATCTATTTCTATGGGCCATCTATACCATGGCTTTGTAACAAATAACCAGAGGGTAAGTTTTTGAATACTCCATGATGCTAGACAATATGGTGATACCCACATAGTGATTGAAGTTGATTTTGCCAACAGCACATGGGGGCTATAGAAGAAGCGATGATGGGGATATAATTGGATATGTAATCAACACTATGACATTCAATAATGTCCTTTTGATAAACATAGAGGGGCCGGTTTGGTATACAATCTATCATCATTTACCTGTTGTTAAAGGGGTAAACAACCCCCTCTATTAATCAACCAACCAATGGGAAAAGGACATCCATGATGACATTTGGGTGTGGCTAGAAAGGTAGTGCCTCCCGTTGTATGACCAAGTTCAATTGGAGAATATATGTTTTTTTTCAGCGCTGGCTTAAGGCACCTCAGAGGAATCCAATCCGTGGTTCAAACCCAGTTCCCGAGTTCTTAAGTGGAGGCAAATAAGTACCAAATATCAAATGGTATCAATGATCCCTTGGAACGATGAAACTCACATGTTTGATTCTACAAGACTCTTCTGGATTTTCAAGGACTTCCCCCATTTTTCTTTAAATCTTGCTTAGTAAAATATAGCTATTAATCCCTTATACTCATCAAGCAACAGGGGTTGAGCAGCCAGTGCCCAATTAGGGTTGCACTTCCAATTGGCCAATTGGATGTGCCCAGTCCACACGAACGATCTGGCATCCCCATGGATCTATGATGATGTAGTTACAGCAATGTTGACATAGTTGCATCGCCATCAAAGATTTCTTTGCCACATGGTTGTTGTTGCTGACTAGATCATCATTGTTTCAATTCATTATCTAGTTAACAAATAACCATGATCTATCAATGATTTGCTATCTGATAAGCCAATCATCATGGCCATCATTGATGCTGATCATCATTAATCCTTGTCCCCGATGATCGCCTCCAGCTTGGATCACCTTACAAATCCCCACGACAAAATGGAATGTCATGTACATGTACGATCAGAAACTCCATAAACTCTGAACATCATTTATCATCATTTATCATCAATATGATCTTGATGATCATTTATCATCATTTGTCATCATTTATCATCATTTATCATCAATCTGATCTTGATCATCATTTATCATCATTTGTCATCATTTATCATCATTTATCATCAGTTATCATCATTTGTCATCAATATGATCTTGATCATCATTTATCATCATTTGTCATCATTTATCATCATTTATCATCAATATGATCTTGATGATCATTTATCATCATTTAACATCACTTATCATCATTTATCATCATTCATCATCTTGATCATCATTTATCATCATTTGTCATCATTTATCATCATTTAACATCATTTGTCATCAAAATGATCTTGGTCATCATTTATCATCATTTGTCATCATTTATCATCATTTGTCATCAATATGATCTTGATCATCATTTATCATCATTTGTCATCATTTATCATCATTTATCATGCATATGATCTTGATCGTCATTTAACATCATTTATCATCATTTATAATCATTTATCATCATTTATAATCATTTATAATCATTTTTCATGATTTATCATCAATATCATATTGATGATGCTGGATTTACAAGATATTGGATATCAGCCCCCTGTGGGCTCCCCACCCAATGGTGGAGCCCCATGCCAGGGCTCGCCCAAGTGAACGAAGAGGGTGCTACTGGCAGTTTCTTCAAATCCTGGCCCGCGGGGGATAGAAGGGCGCCAGGGCCAGGGGTTATTCATGGGCTATGACTATGGCAATGGTATATTTCACTAACCTGAATCTTAAGGCCATTTGGGGATGATTCCCCTTATTAACCATGTGTTCCCCATAATTTCCAGTATCTTCCAGTCCTTTTCGTTCTCTTTTACCCTCTGGTAAACTAACATAACTATGGGAAATCACAATTTTTCATGGGTAAATCCACTATTTCTATGGCCATTTCCAATAGCTATGTTTATTTACCAGAGGGTAACAATATTGTAAGAATCAACATTAGTTGGGAATAGTTGGGATATAACTGATAGAAGCCTCGTTTTGTAGGGTGAAATTGATTCAATTACAACCTGAACGCACCTCTCAGTAAGACACACGAGGCATGTTGGTTGAAACAGAAACATGGGGATGGACCTGTCACATGGGCCCAAGTGGAATTCAACCACAGGAAATGGGCGATATATCCCAAAAAAATCAATCACCGGCATTCCGTTCAGAAGTGAGGACTTAATGTTTACACTCTCGTGGATTAGTAAATTAGCATAGCCCCTGGCAGGGGTTGGAAGATGAGTCTCCGCTACAAATTGGTGATTTTCAGGGTCAAACTGTTACCCTCTGGTAAACTAACATAGCTATTGAAAATGGCCATTTATAGTGAGTTTTCCCATTAAAGATAGTGATTTTCCATAGTTATGTTAGGGTACCAGAGGGTAATTTACCAGTGGGTACGCCTAAGTGTATAGCAATTGAAATGGAATGCTTACCCTCTGGTAATTTAACATAGCTATTGAAAATTGCCTTTTATAGTGGATTTACCTATTCAAAATGGTGATTTTCCATAGTTATGTTAGCTTACCAGAGGGTAACTAAGAAATCAGGCTGGAAGGAGCCCGCATGGCGGATTGAGTTCTGCACTCCTTGCCCTTGGCAAATACCCAGGTAAAACGGGTGTGATGGTGAAGCTATACAAAAAGCTTTTGCTTAAAGGGTATATTTTGATTATCCACCGGTTTATATGATGATCCACTATCACACTAGGCTTAATATCCACTATACCCAGGTAAATGGATGTCCCATTTTGGAGGGATGAATAGCCCACGAATGCAACGCAATGCAACTTGGCCGACTAACGTATCTCGAAGATGAGCCAATTGCTACTTCCACATGGCCATTTATAACATACATTGAACACCCTGATTGGTTTGAGTGGGTCTGTTCAGCATCAGCTTTCATGTGATATATGCAATGTATATCATTGTATATCTGCATATAGGATCAAATCGGCTGAATAGAAATTATTCTTCTAACCTGAAAATAGCTGAAATAAGAATGATTCGTCGAATTCTAACCATCATTCCAATGACATCACGATGAGGTCATTGTAATTCATACAGATATGTCCCATTACATTCCCATTATATCCCCATGAAAAAACCGTCATGATTGTTGATTTTTGATGCTTTAATCACCATATTCAGCCAAATATAATGTTTCCAAACTAGCAAATACTAGCAGTAGATATTGGAAACCTGATCCAAACAATACTTGTTTATAAGTATTCGTTGGGCACCTGATGTTGGAATGATTGACCAGATTCCAATGTAGCACGGATAGCAACTTTCTGTTCAGAACATTACATTTTGCCCCAACATCTTCAACACACCCTCGACACAAGCAGTTTCCTAAAGGCTGCAGCTGGGTGTCACTGGCTTTCCATTCGGTGGACGATGGACGAATAAAATTTCCAGTCATGAGTTATCTTCATTAAACACAGTTATCCCCTTGCCTTATTGGTATGTATTCTGGTTGGTGGTTTCAACCCCTCTGAAAATATGAAAGTCAGTCGGGATGATTCTTCCCAATATATGGAAAACTAAAAAATGTTCCAAACCACCAACCCGTATTGGTATAATGTTTCATGCAATTTATTCTGGCTGGTGTATTGGAATTCCTCGTTCATCGGGTCGAACAAAAATCTACATGATTGCTGTAGTTGCAAAAAACATCAAAAGCATACAGTTGGTATTTAAGGGGCATCTGTATCAGCCCCAGAACCACCCAAATGAAACATCCCAAGCGTATCACAGCCCGCTGGCCCATCCCACTCTATCTCCTGGGCTGTCGAAGTAGCTGTGAAGGTCTGGAAGCCGTGTGGTCAAGTCGACCTGCTGTCGATGGCTAAAATGCTCGGTGTTTTCAGCATCCGAAGTGGGCGAATTTTCACCCACGGAATGTAGAAACACAGCAGTTTCTACTGGTTGGATCACACGCTTTTGCGCATCAATTGAATCAATGGTAACACACCTGAATAAAAGCGCTACTATTTTTAGCGACCGTATCTGCAATCATCCTTGCGTACATATACAGAAATTTAAAAGGTAATATTTTTTAGATTCACCATTTCAGAAAAGGATGCAAAAGGCATGTGTTGGTTGGGCAAAGTATAGCAGTCAGTCCAACGTTTGTGCATTGCCATATGGCTATCGCCGCTGTTTCCAACAAAAGTGTAGGAATGAGCATTCGTAAATATTCGTAAATGTACAATGTGGGGCCCCCAAGATAGCTAAGTTGGTTTATAACTCCAATAACTATGGTTTATGGATGTTTATGGTACTTATAACCATAGTTATGGGGGTTTATAAACCAACAAACATCACTGGGGGGCCCCACATTGTAGGAAGTGCAGAGAACATGTTTCGAAGGAAAGATGTTTCGTGCTTGAAGAATGGATGGGAATTTTTCAGCGCCTCTGAATCTCAAGGATCCGGCAAATATCGATGACACAACATGTCTTCAGAGCTGCCCAGAGCTTGCAACACATCTCTATTGGGGTTGTTGCTACCCTCTGGTAATTTAACGTAGCTATGGAAAATCACCATGCTATTAATGGGAAAATCCACTATTTCTATGGTCATTTTCAATAGCTATGTTAAATTACCAGAGGGTAAATCCTAACTCCACTGCATCAATTGCATCATGAACGAGCGAAAACATGGGGTTCAACGGTTCAACCATATTTTGTTTCCTTCAAACATGTCCGATCTGGCATTGTCATCTTAAAGTCTTACAAGGCATACATCCCCGGCCATGGGATGTATGCCTAGGTACCAGGGTGAACAGCACAGGTCGAATCTTTGGATAGTTTTTTCCCCCAAACCCAGATGCGAACCATGGTCAATGGGAATTTCAAGATCCTAACTTGGAGGGTGCCTACCATATATAAGGCCTATATAAGGCCTATGTAAGGGAATATCCCCTCAAAATATGGCATTATATGGTACAGTACCTCCATCTGTTGGATCCTGAAATTCCCATTGACATGATTCTGGTATATAAAATCCTACAAAACTGGGTGATTTTGGGCAAGGGCAAATGTTGGTGTGCATATTCTAGCACCATGGTTCGCATATGGGAAATGGTATCAAAGGTTTTTTAACGTATCCCTCGTTGAGAAGTATGGCTGTTTTGGACCGTGCATAGATCAACCACCAAACCACCAACAGCTGGCCTCTGGGAAGGCCTTTAACTGGTCTTTCATCATCATTTTGCACAGCTCCTGAAGACCTTCCTGAGTTCGTCTGCCAGTTTAGTAAAGGATGGGGCCAGGAGTAGTCAATGGAAGGGAAGAAAAATCTGCTGTATCTGCCATACCCTCCATTACCCTCTGGTAAACTAACCTAACTATGGAAAATCGCCATGCTATTAATGGGTAAATCCACTATTTCAATGGTCCATTTTCAATAGCAAACTGTGAATGTTTACCAGAGGGTAATTCAACACAGCCAACGGACATGGCCCATAGAAACAAATGACTTACCACCTGGTTATGACTAACAGTTTGCCATGGAAAATCACCATGTTTAATAGGTAAACCATCTATTTCTATGGGCAATTTTCCATGGCTATGTTAAATAACCAGAGGGTACCTATCAAAACTGGCGATTTTCCATAACTACTTGCATGTTAAATTACCAGAGAGTATTGAAAACCAATTCAATGGATCATGCAACACTTCCCACACAGGGTTGCAACGTTTTGCCCATCCTGGGGTTCCACAATGTTGTGAAAGTATGCATGACCCTCATCGTCATCGTCATCGTCACGCTCTAATGGATAATCATGAAATCTGACAATAAGTCAGTCGTAACTATAGCTTCGATTGAGAACCATGTCAAAGAACCATGTTTGACATCCTCATCTATGCAATAACTACATGTTAGGTTTTACATGGTCATATGATAGAACAAACATAGTATCATACAATAAAGACATAGATAGATAAATAGATAGATAGATAGGTAGATAGATAGGTACATAATTAATTAACTAATAATATATATATATATACGAGCATATATTCATATCCAAACCTTACAACGTGCCCCCCCAGTTATAAGTGTATGTATCATCCATATGAGCCATAAATGGTTGTACTTGCCATAAATCGTAGTTGTTGGGGCCCACCTTGTAACAATGACAAAAAACTCCGTGTGATCCCACCCACTTGAGAAGCACACACACATGCACGTATATAGAAGTATAAGTATTTATACACATATATCTTATATAAATATATGTATATATATATATATGTATGTGTATATAAAATGTATGTATATATAATATTATATAATGCCAAGTTAGGATTAATAATCCCCGCGGTATTAATCAACCCCCTCTGCCCATTTTTTTTTTGTAATTTAAAAAAAGGTGGTCCCCCAGGATTAATAAACCGTTTGGCTGGGACATGATTAATCAACCCCCTGTGCTGAAATCCATTTTTTTATTCAACAATTTTATTTCCAATTCTATTTATTTCCAATTGCTTTTTACCTCTTTTTTATCATCATTGTTATACTTAAGGTTTAAGTTGATCATTGAAAATTTCAAAAAACAACTATTCCCCAAATGATCGATTTCTAATTAAAAACTTGATAAAAATCATCAGTTTGGATAGCTCCCAAAGGGTACCCCCCATGAGCCCATGTCCCCCACTAATAATAACCACGGTTTGCCCCTGATTAATCAACCACCTTTCTGATCCATGAGATTTTAACAAACCCAATGGAATTCTATTAAGATCTAATTGACGTAAACCATATCCAAAGTTTTTTGGTTCAGAGTTGCTTATTATTAAGGGGCGGTCAAGAAAACTAGCCAGAAGGTCCGACTGACCTACCAGGGGGGGGGGTTGATTAATCCGATGTTGGCATTATTCTATCTATCTATCTATCTATCTATATATATATATCTATATTGTATATATATATATGTATAAATTATGTTAAATATTCATATCTTATCTTGGTTCAGATGATATTTTCTCCATAACTTCCCGCTTTGCCAGGTTTCCACCGAAACCTCGCTGTCGTTCTCGAAGGACACATCGGCAGCTCCGCCTCACCGAGACACCGAGACACCGAGACACCAAAATCACCCAGTCTTGTAGGATTTTATATACCAGCACCATGGTAATACATGGAGCATATGGGATATTTATTATAATTAAGTTTATGACAGAAACATGAGCAGAATCCAAATCAAAGCTTCTGAAACATAAAAATAAGTAAAATCATTATCATGTGAGGCCCCCAAGATAGCTAAGTTGGTTTATAACTCCAATAACTATGGTTTATGGTACTTATAACTATAGTAAACCAACTTATAACTGGGGGCCTCACATTGTATATTTTTTACCACCAGACACTGATGTCAAGCATTCCTAGCCACCAGCCCTTCACACATGGTGCATCCCTACCTGGCAGGTGCCATGCAATGCTCAGCTGATGCTGAGAAGCACAAACTGAGACCGTGTAACACAGCCTTGGCGTGGGGTGGGATCTGTGGGAATCGGGGATATTGGGACAAGCAACTGAAAGGGTCCATGATCAAAAATATGATTAAATATAATAACAATAACTAATAATATTAATAAAACAAAATAATGTATATATATATATTCATAAATAAAAATAATAATATATATAATCAAATATAAAATCAAATATATAATCATAAATTAAATCATATATATACACATATAATCATAAATTTAATCATATATATATATTATCATAAATAAAATCAAATATATAATCATATATATCATCATATATATATAAATGTAATCGAATATAGATAAAAAATAATAATCACACATATTTAAATACAATCATATATATAATCAAAAATATAATCACAAATAAAACCATAAATATACAATCATATATATCAAATCAACTATATACAATCATATATATATAATCATATATATATAATCATGAATATAATCATATATATAATCATATATATATAATCATATATATATATATAATCATAAAAACCACAAATGTGACTCAGGCATAATAAGGCAATAGTTGTGGAAGTCAATCTTCATGATCCCACAAATGAGGGTTTCCATGGAGGATCCCCAAGCTCGCTGGTTGGTTTATATTGGAAAATCCGAAACAAACATCTGTTTAGTGGTTTTTCGCTACCCCTCTGAAAAATGATGGACTTCGTCAGTTGGGATTATTATCTTCCCATATGTGAAATGGAAAATCAGCCAAATATTCCAAAGCACCAAGCAGAAATGGATGATGACTGGGATGATGACTCGGTGAGCTACTGATCCAATATCACAACCCACCCAATATCAACCATGCTTTAGTAGGGAATGAAATCACAGGGCAATTTTTGAATGGGGGTATTTAATATGAATGGGGAATGGGACTCGTATGGGGGTATAAAGCCAACCATCTTATGAGATATTAGATGGATATAACCATTTTCAGGACTATTCATGAGCAATGGGAAAATGATAATCCAATAAATAGTCTCTAAAATTCAAGGGAGCCCTTCAATAATAAGGTGTCCATGAAACGGAAGGTTCATAAACAATAATATCATCATATATCATCTATCACGATTCATGTTCCCCACCTGCCAGGTGAGGGTTGTTAGATTTTCTCAGAGTTGTTCTCCTCCTTCTCCTTCTCCTTCTCCTTCTCCTCCTCCTCCTTCTTCTCTTTCTCCTCCTTCTCCTCCACCACATCTGCCTTCACTTCCATGTCCACTTCCGCCTTGCCAACTCTTCGCCAAGCTCTTCGCCAGCTTCCGCACGCAGTGGGCACCGCTGGACCTCAACCTGGGACCTTCCGAGCTCAGTGAGCACCGCTGGACCTCAACCTGGGACCTTCCGAGCTCAGTGAGCACCGCTGGACCTCAACCTGGGACCCTCCGAGCTCAGTGAGCACCGCTGGACCTCAACCTGGGACCCTCCGAGCTCAGTGAGCACCGCTGGACCTCAACCTGGGACCCTCCGAGCTCAGTGAGCACCGCTGGACCTCAACGGCCAGATAGGATGCCAGAAGATATGCCAGATAGAACGCCAAACAGAATGTCAGAAAGAATGCCAGAAGATATGACAGATAAAGTGCCACAAGGTATGCCAGAATATATGCCAGAAGATATGCCAGATAGAATGCCAGAAGGTATGCCAGATAGAATGTCAGATAGAATGCCAGAAAGTATGCCAGATAAAGTGCCAGAATGTTTGCCAGAGCATATGCCAGAAGATTTGCCAAATAGAATGTCAGAAGATATGCCAGAAGATATGCCAGATAGAGTGCCAGAAGGTATGCCAGAATATATGCCAGGTAGAATGCCAGAAGATATGCCAGATAAAATGCTAGAAGATATGCCAGATAGAATGCCAGAAGGTATGCCAGATAGAATGTCAGATAGAATGCCAGAAGGTATGCCAAATAAAGTGCCAGAATGTTTGCCAGAACATATGCCAGAAGATTTGCCAGATAGAATGCCAGATAGAATGCCAGAAGATATGCCAGAAGATATGCCAGATAGAGTGCCAGATAGAGTGCCAGAACATATTGCAGAAGATATGCCAGGTAGAATGCCAGATAGAATGCCAGAAGATATGCCAGATAAAATGCCAGAAGATATGTCAGATAGAATGCCAGAAGATTTGCCAGTATCAAAACGTATAGATGTCATGGTGGGGATAACTCGAAGTAAAGTAATTTCATTTATCTATTGAAATTAATAGTCCTGTCCAATATATGGAGGTGTCTGAAAATATGAGTACAAAAAAAAAACGTTGGACCGTTGGACCCCTAAAAACATCTGTGCAAATGTCATGAAACTGCAATCTGATTTGAAAGGACTAAACATCGAAGATATATCCAGTCACCAGGATGTTCCTTTCCAAAAAAAATGAACCCAACATTATTGAAGGCCTCCCTTTTCCAAAGATTAGGGTCACAAAGGTCAGATGTCACCAGGTCATCAGTGGGCACCTTCCGTGCCATCGCCATCACATCAAAAAACTGGGTGAATAGAGCTGTAAAAAATGACCATGAAGAAACCCATAAAATGTCCCGCAAAAAGTGGTTATGATTGTTATGATTCACCTAGAAAATGCTTGGAACATGGATTAAATATTCCAACATATCAACAAAATAATTGCCGATTGGGTCTCATCTGGTTTCCAATAGCCGATGGAGTCTTGTCGGGTTTCCAACCGGCTGCAATAGATTTATTGCATTGGCATAGGAAAATATCCAAGAACTCATTCTCACCAGTACTTATATATAATTATATATATATATATATCTTATATAAATTGCATGGTTCCATACAATCAATCTATGCCTCTCAAGGCAATGACGAGAGACCACTTCAGCTTGTCTCGAAGCACCTGACAGAAAAAAAAAAAAACTGCAGAGACACAGCAGCATCCGGAAGCCAGTTGCAATGGTGGAAGGCAAGAACCTCTCAATGCTTTCTGCTTTAAAGACAAGGAGAAGCCTTTGCTAATCGACATGATCCATCGAAATATCCATTTATTCCAGCAAACTCGGGGATTGATATTCCACCAACATGTCGGGCTAGCAGAGGGCACATCAATTGCTTGCTCAAGCGGCTTGCCGCTTCGCTTGGTCCATGGATGAAATGTCAAAGAATGACTGGCCTCGCAGGGTGGATCTTCAGGTGGTTCTTGAAGTCTTGTAGGATAGACATTCCAATATATTTCGATATATTTCGGGCAAAACGTGGTCATTAGTAATTTCGTAAATAGGATTTGGGCATTGGATAATAACTACTTTTGTAGTGGCGCAATGGCAAATGAAGTAGAGTGAAAGGCATGTACACTTTGGCTAACCGGTTAGTGTATTGTCTGACATGGGATTCCCGCAAGCATAAGTAAGATTCTCGTTGCTTACATGATGATCACATGATTCCAAAAGCTCCAGATGGATTATGAAGAACATAAGCAACACGTTTTACTGCGCAACCACTTTCGATTTCCGGAATGATCCGCAGAATCTTGTCAGTGACTAGTAACTGGGCAAATTATGATAGTTCCCTAACCTGAAATGTTGGACCATATTGGGCTAATTCCCCTTACTACCCATTATTCCAGTGACGGAGATCAGTGAGGTCGTTATAATTGACCCAGATAGATGTATAATGATGTATACCAACAGAATGCGGAGGATGACCCACCATCAACCCATCAACCCTGCAGCTATGCGGCTGAATGAAAAAATGTGAACGTCGCAGCGCTGATTCTCTGTGCGCAAGGGCGTTTGGCAGTACGCCGCAATGCATGCCGTTGAAGGGGCAGCACATTGGCTGGACCTGACAGTGACACTGAGATGATATTCCCGGTTTTTTTGAACATTTCTGGGCTTCCAAATGAGTAAAAAAACGATAAAGACACCCCAAAAGCCATGGCTCAGTATTGGATGTGTTCATTTGGGGGTCCATATGGGGGCCTGCGTTATCATGGAATTGGATTACATGAAACCCGCAACAGCAACCTGTGCTGCAAGTTCTGGCTGCTGGTCAGTGGTTTCACACTTTCCCCATTCTCTCTCTGTTTGCGGGGTCCAAATATGATATATGACCAACTCCTAAACTCCAAATCCACTATTCCATATTATCATAGTTGAAGTAATATTCATATTTCTGGGTAAATTATCATACTTCACAATCCTGAAAAAGCCAGTTGGGGATTCCCCGCAATTCCCATCATTCATCATCATTCCAGGCTTCGGTCTCTGTGAGGTCGTTATATTATGTCGTGATCAAATTTACCCAGATCATTGAATCTGGGTAAATGAAATACCATTTGGTAAATTAACATAGACCCTGAGAATCGCCTATTTTTAATGGAAACTAATCTTCCAACCCCTATCTGCCAGGGTCTATGTTAATTTACCGGAGGGTAATATTTCACTCACCTGAATCTTGCGGCCATTTGGGGATGATTTTCCGAATAAAAACCATGATTCCAGTGAGGGAGATCAGTGAGGTCGTTATAATTTACCCAGATTGAATGGTCGATTTTTTTGGAGGGAGAACCATCATCCTTCCGCTCACGTTGCAACAAGTGGACCCACTGGAAGACTTAAACAGCTCGTCCACCGCCGCTTGGTCGTTGGGATGATGGAAAATGACCTAAAAACGAAACCAGGACGTGTTGCACCACGAAAAAATGCAATGGGTTGCAGCTTCCCAATGTGAACATGACTGGCTGGAAAGAGAACATGACAAATCAACATCAATAGAAATCTCATCGATGATGGGATCGGCAATCGTCATGACCTGCCACCGGAAATCTAAGCTTGAAACAGCTGACTTGGCATAGACTTGTAAGGTGCCCGTCCTGGGTTCAGTGATTGGTTGACTGCGTTGACTGGCTTGATGTTTGCAAAAAGAAATACTCGACAGGACACACATTGGATTTTGATCATCCACAAACAGAGAATTTCTCGAGAGTCGAGACGAGTCGAGACAGGACAGAAATTCTGGGATTGGTTGTTTCAGGATCTACCAGGCGACGTGTATAATGCTGCAAACAAACAGTGGACTCTGACCAACCGAATGCCAAACAACTGGGTGGTTTGATGTTGTTTGAAGTACTTATATAATCTTATGTATATATATATTATATATATATAGTTTCTAACCAAATATACAAATGCTGCAACTTGTTGCAACTTGTTGCTTTTGACAGTTGGAGGTCAGTGGAAAGGAGTTTTAGTGCCCATATCATGGGGATTCCCGACTGAGTTCGCCCAAAACCAGCCAGGTCCGAGCATCTTGAGCTCTTCCAAAGTCCAAGCCAAGTTGTCATCCACTCCTCGTTGAGCTTGAGAGTGAAAACCATGGACCCCAAGAAAAATTCACAACCCAATCCCATTATAGGATCCATGGTGCAATGGTGCTGCGATTTGTTTGGTGCTCCATGGATCCCATCAACAAAAAACCCCTTTATTCATGGGATTACCCGGCCTGGTAATGACTGTTACACTTTGCGAACTTGACAATGGCCCAGTCGAAATCGTTGATTTCCCTATAGCAAGGTGATGTTCCATAGTTTTTTGTATGTTGACCAGGCCGGGTAAATGTGAATCATATGTGATTCAAATTTGGTAAACAGTAACCAATATGATTCAAATTTCATATGTATCCAACAAATTTGGTCCATATTGAATCATCATCCCAATTTGTAACAAATTTGTTGGATACATATGAAATTTGACACCAGCAGCCTGAATTCCAAGCCTGACTCATAGAGTTGCAGAGCGTGCTGGTGACACTCTTCCCAACCTCGAAACAGCGTGCTGGATGTTGGGAAAAAAGCAGCGTGCGGACTCGACAAACTCCGCAATGCAAACGACAAATCCCATCTAGAATGCTGGGAAAAAACATATAACCCTCTGGTAAACTAGCATAGCTATAGAAAATCACCATGCTATCAATGGGTAAATCCACTATTTCAATGGCCATTTTTTCAATAACTATGTTTGTTTACAAGAGGGTAATTGTAAATGAAAATCCAAACCAGGTGGAACCAGTGCAGAACATCTTCGTATCGGTCGTATCGGCTGCCACTGAATCATTTTTAACATGAGGATATATGCAATGTGGGGCCCCCGTTCGATAGCTAAGTTGGTGCACATAACTCCAATGTCACTATGGTTTATGGTACGCAAATAATTATAGTTATGGGGCTTTATAAACCAACGTTCTTATCACTGGGGGGCCTCACATTGTGAGGATATGAAAGATCTTAAGACGTGGGATGATGTAGGTAATTATGGCTCATACATGCAGGAACCCAATGGCAACTGAAAAAGGAAGTAGGCATCTAATGTTTAGTTGACAACTTCAATTCTAACTCTAGCCGCATGTCTCTCTCAATGTGGTATTCCTTTTGTGGGTGACATGAGGCTCGGTAAAGTTTATAAGTTTCCCCGGCCTGTTCAATGGATTGGTTTTCTTGGGAAAATCGAAGCCGGAAACCATCGATTTTCCCATGAAAAAAAGAGGGGCTTTCCGGTTTCAATTTTCCCGACAAAACCAATCCATTGACTGCTTTGAAGCCTGTTTTTCCAGTTGATTTCCAAGGATCTACCCAGCCATTTCCATGATCTACCGGGTCTCCCAACTCCGTGTCATGGCGCCTTCCTGGTCATGGGTTTTTACGAGTTGGACATGACAAAACCAGCCATGTCCAAAAGTCCATCACCCATATGCTCCATGTATGGAATATTTACCTATATATTTATGGGTTTCTAATTTCTAATATATGATATAGTTATTTATATGTTATATATATATATATCTTGTTGGTGGTTTTTACCATCTTGAATAATATGACTTCGTCAATGGGAAGGATGACATCCCATATATAATGGAAAATAAAACATGTTTGAAACCACCAACCAGGTCTAGGCTAGTTGTTATCTTGACTATAGTCTGGACTTTCAAGATATAGTTCTGAACCAATGTTCAAAGCTTGGACATGTTTGGACTATATATATATAGTCCTATTAAGAATCACAATTGCAAAGCAAAAAAACAAAAATCGTCTGAGTCCAACCCGAAACGACCCACTCACCCAACTGCAGTCTCGTGAAACTGATGACCTTTTTTCTCGATGAGAATTTCAGGATCCAACAGATGGAGGTACGTTAGTACCATATGCTTGGCCATATGAATTGTGGTGATATTCCTTTACATAGCCCTGAAAAATAGGCCTTATATATGATGGTAGGTACCTCCAATCAATCATCAATCGGTTCCTGGGACTGAGATGGCCAGTGATATACAGATTAGTTGCTACGGTCTCAGATTCTCCAGATTTGTCAAGATTTCGAGGAGCTGATTCACGAGCAGCTCATGCTGGTTTCTGATACTCAGTTCCATCTGTCTTGCAATGCCCAATGTCCATCACATGTTTCTGTCACTTGTTCTTTCAATGTCCCTTTCAAAATGCCTTCCAAAGAAGTCATAAGCCACAATTCCACCACAAATCATCTAGACCTAAGTCATGTATAACCCAAAATTTCGACCAGAAATCATCTGGCCCTTCACTTACAGACCTGAATCAGGTCGGTCCCTTGCCAGACCTTGGCGCTATCTCCCCGCAACTGGTGAAACCTGGCCGATGCGAACGACAAAACACGGCTGATTGTGCAATGTGGGACCCCCAAGATAGCTAAGTTGCCTTATAAGTGGCTTAACTATGGTTTATAGTAGATATAACTATAGTTAATAGGGTTTATAAACCAATTTATAACTGGGGGGCACCACTTTGTGGTGTCAACAGTCGTTGACTTAGAAGGGAAACTGGGTAACCATGAAAGTTTATGAGTTTATCCCATATGGGAACCATGGTGCTGAAATATGCACACCAACATTTGCCCTTGCCCTCAAAATCACCCAGTTTTGTAGGTAAATATGCCAGCACCATGGAGCATCTGTGTATTGAAAAATGGTGATTTTCCATAGCGAACCGTTGAATAACCATAGGGCAACTCTCAAATGATGGGATTGGAAACTGCGATGCGCACCTAGATGTTCTATCCCCCTTGACGCCAATATACGCCAATCCTGGCCATAGGTTGTCTCATAACTCCTGAGGGGAGCCTGGTAGAGGACATGAACCGTGAATGTTCCAGCGCCAATCAGCCAGAGGGCCCCTACAAAAAATGGACCAAATTCTTTGCTGGTGAACGTAGATAATCCCATGACAAAAAGACTAGTTGTAGAGTTATAGGATTAGTTTGTACCCATCTAAGATTGACGTCGATTTTCCAAGCACCTAGCTGCTAGAAAAATCAATCTTCTGTACTCACAATCTCATCCACAGTAATCTTCCCAGTCTCCACACCTTTATGCCAAACGAGGAAAAGCCTTTGATAAGTTTCCATGTGGATTTACGTTATTGGTTGAAAGCAAGATTCTCAATAATTTCTGAAACAAACTGAATAATTACTGGATGGGGTGAACGACTAATTATCATCATCATTCATCATCCATAATCTTTCTGAATCATCCATAGTCTTTCATAATACCCTCTGGTAAACTAACATAACTATGGAAAATCACATTTTTTAATGGGAAAACTCACTATAAATGGCCATTTTCAATAGCTATGTTAGTTTACCAGAGGGTAATCATCCATAATCATTCATGATACCGACGCCCATTTCCGCCGGCTTTTTCGGATCTCACAGAGGGGAATGGCTTGGTGCACATGAAACCAATCTTGGCTGGCTACCCTCTGGTAATTTAACATAGCTATTAAAAATGGCCATTTATAGTGGATTTACCCATGAAAAAATGGTTTATGTTAGTTTACCAGAGGGTAATCATTGCCAATCTTAGATACCCTGTAAAAAAAAAAAAATATTTGCTGGTGAACGGTTCGATCTTCCCATACCAAAAGACTAGTTAGGATTAGTTTGTCTCCATCCAGTCGATTGACCTAGTAGATACTCTGTGGGACATATCCCCAGTAGCAGCTATCATAATCCCCATGAAAAACCAGGTAATATAATCCCCTATAATAACCCATCAACATATACATCCTGTATAAACCTATATAACCCAATAATTAAGCCCATATAACCCATACAATCCCCATTAAACCTGTTGACCTAGTAATTTGTTGGCTAAAAAATCCCAAGATTCTCCGGCTCCACGAAGAAAAAGCAGGTCAGCGACACCAATGGTCCGTCTTGTGCCACAGCTTTCCACCCACGTCACGCACCTTTTCAGCCGCCTGACACAATGACAGGATGACACTGATGACAGCCCCTGGAAAGTTTGTCCGTCCAAATGGGGGAAAATCACCAAAATCGTGCCATTTCAATTAGAAGATTTAAGATAGAGTCTATCGGATGAAAACAGGCTACTCTATTTTCAGACAGTTTTTCTGTGGTTTTTCTGAACTCGGTTTATTTAAATTTCTACAACATGGTTGGTTATTGTGGTTGATTCATGTGGTTATGGCTTATCATACATCTGGGTAAATCATAATATTTCACAAACCTGAATTAAGGCCATTTGGGGATCATTTCCCGAATCCTAACCATGATTCCAGTGAGGTCGCAGTGAGGTCATTATAATTTACCCAGATTCATGTGGTCGGATCACAAATTGAACCCACCAACCAGCAACCATATACCCACTGTATCCCCTTGAACAATCATGTCAGATTGCGGAAAATCAACCAATCAACGGAAAAACACTGGCGAGTTGTAGAGTTTGTACCCCCTATCTTTTTCCTACCTGTGCAGCTTCATTGTGAACACACAGAGACAGACTGTCCCGGGGTAAACCTCAAAAATCGTGCGGAAGAACATGTTCTTTACCTGCAAAACATGCCAAAAACATGACTTATCACATATTCAAATAGCCTTCCTTAATTATCGTTTCACCAGACCAGTTCTGTCTTTAGTTCATGAATGCTCAGTACAGTCCTCTATCGCAACACACCCATTGGCTGATTACCCAATTAACTAATTCAGCTTTCACCAAGGTTAACCCGACAAATCGGGCTTCCACTGAATTCCATATGCTCCATGTATGGAATATTTACCAACATTCACCCTAAAAATCACCCAAATGTAGGTAAATATACCATACCATACATGGAGCATCTGGGAATTACTGCACCTTCTTGCCGCCAGCTTTCAGGTCCTGCAACGCAGCTTGTGACGCTGGTCCGCTGGTCGTCTCGAGGAAACGAAACGCTGGCAGAAACAGAAAGTCAAGCTCCCAAGCTCATGAGGTAAGCTTAGATTCAGCTGGTAAGCTTCCGATTCCATCTAAACACTGGAAAAAACGCAATATAAATCAATATAATAATAAACCACCCATGACTGGGAATGGTGAACATACCACCTGCAAAAAATGGTGACCGGGGGATGGTTTATTGTTGTTTTACCATGAAATAATCCACCACCTCCACACATTTTTGTTGATGATTCGAACGAACATGGGATGAACATTAAACATCTGTGACACAAAATCGCGTGGAAAAAAATAGGTCCTGTACTTTTCCCTTCAGATGCTCAGTTGTTTCCTTGGCCCCAGCGACTGGATGTTGAGCATGGCAAGGCTGTAAAAATTGTGAATAGACGATTTGGACTGGTCACTTTGAGCACTGGAACTTCCGGCATGTCGCGCCATCAGAACATCCGGTTTGAATGGGAACAGCATCTATAAATGGTAGTTTGAAATCTCACTGAGGGGCCCCACACAAACAAAAGGGCATGGAATTGTTGGCCAATGGGATTAGCGTCCCGTCGCTGGAAGACAAGAGTTGTAGTGTCAACAGTCATTGACTTAGAAGGGAAACTGGGCAACCATGAAAGTTTATGAGTTTATCCCAGATGCAAACCATGGTGCTGGTACATAAAAACCTACAAAACTGGGTGATTTGGCAAGGGCAAATGTTGGTGTGCATATTCCAGCACCATGGTTCGTATATGGGTATGGCAAGACTTATAGAATTAACGGACAGTTTGTGGAGATCGAAACATGCAGTTCAACATTTTACCAGATTTTCCCAGATTTTCCAAGATATACAGTACCCTCTGGTAAACATTCACAGTTTGCGACATAGAACATGGCCCATAGAAATAGTGAGTTTTCCCATTAATAGCATGGTGGATCTTTCCATCGTTTTCTGTTACCAGGCCGGGTACCAAGTCGAGGCATGTGGCAGGTCCAAAGAAACTCTTCTTCTCCGCTGCAGCGCTTTCTTCCTCACCTGCATAGAAGAAGTGCTGTGTTTTGCCCTTGAAAAATCACCATTAATCTTCAAAATGAATACAGGTGAGGACGAAAATAACAAAATCTTCAAACTGAATATGTTGATCAAAAAATAAGAACATAAAAAAAAACAAACAAACATTGTGATCTGCTTCTTTTTGATAGGAAAAAATAAAATAACACAGCAGCCACCCTATGCATTGCTGATCAAGCCTGAATGATCCTGGATCGAAATTTGCGAGGTGCCATCCCAACATCCCACCATAAAATGTGAGCGAGAGAATTTGCGGCACATCCAACGTGTGGAGCCGCACCATCTGTGAATTCCATATGTTTTTCCTGACTTTCGTTGTGTTACCCTCTGGTAAACATACAAAAAACGATGGAAAATCACCATGCTATGAATGGGTAAATCAACTATCAATGGCCATTTTCAATAGCTAACTGTTTGTTTACCAGAGGGTATTTTTGTTGGTGGCCATTGCTGCTCCAACGAAAAAGCACTGTTGACATGCACTGGGAAAACCGGTGCCTGCGCCCGCAGCGCCCGCGGGCCTGGCGGCACGTAAAAAAACATGGATTTTTTGAGATCGGACCATCTGTGGCTTTGGGATAAATTGGGTATACCGGAAATGGGAGATAGTTACAGCTAGTAGCCCTATATCTATTCATATCCAGAAAAAAAATCATCCCAGTGATGGTTTTCATTGCCAATCTTAGATACCCTGCAAAAAATGGAACAAATTCTTTGGTGGTAAACGTAGATATTCCCCTTCATACCAAAAGACTAGTTAGGATTAAAGTACCCACCTAAGATTGACCTAGTTATCCCCAAAATGCTTCATCTAAGGGACGGACTATTGCTGATTGGTGTTTTTTTAATTATCTTGAAAAATATGAGTTCGTCAATGGGAAGGATGACATCCCATATATGAAATGGAAAATAAAAAATGTTTGAAACCACCAACCAGATTGGGTTAACCCCCAATCATCCACTCTTCTGATCGTTTTGATTTTAAAGACAACAGTTGCTAAAATAATGGCTGGCATTGGCTGGGGCTATTCATTTTGAAACAAATGGAAACTGGCATACATTTTTACCCAGGGATGCAACCTCCC